TAATAAGTATCTAATAAATATAATTATAGTATTTATCTTTATTTCGGGAATAAATAAGGATATTATTTAAATAAATAATTATAAAATAATCCAGGAGCCCTATAAATATAATATTAATATATATTTGAAATATAGCTAGTATATTAGCCAGTTTAAAAGATATTATAAGATATTTAAAATAGCTATAATAGGTCCTAAAAGCCGTCTTTTACTTATATTTTTTATGAATTCTTATTTAATAATATATATCCTTAAGATCTAGCTTTATAAAGATCTTGGCTTCTTAGAGCTAGTTAAGAGTTTTATTAATAAGAGAAAGCAGATACTAATTCTTAATTATAATTTAATTAAGTCTATAATAATTAATATAAAAATATAGTCCTTTATTTTTCTTAGAAATAAAAAAAATAGATATCTTTACTAGGCTTTTACTAGGCCTTATCTAATATTTATAAAGTATATCCTATAAATACAGATATAATACTTCTAGTTAGGTTTCTAATAAATTATATAAAGGCCTATATAAGACTATATTATTTATATTAATAGAGTATTTAATACTACTAAGATTAGGAAGTTCCAAAGCTTTATTAGAGTTAAAAACCTCTAAAAAGTCTTTATATTTATTATTCCGGAAATAGATAAGTACTTCTAAGGCTTCTTTCCGGAAAGTATTAATTTACTATATTAAAAACTCCTATTTAGTATTACTAGAACTATATAATAAAGTAGAAACCTAGTAATTATTATAAATATATAAAGCCTATTATCTAGAATAGTTATATTTGCCTTTAGTTAAGAATAAGACTTAAGGTACTAGCTCAGGGTACTAGTTAAGCTTCTTACCGAATTCTTTTAATATTAGGATTTTAATATTATTAGGTTATATAAATATATATACTTATTATTTCTTAATATAGTTTATATATTATATAAGAATTACTTTATAAAATTCCATACCGAAAATAAGGCTATAAAAGCTAATATTCTTATATTTATAAAACCGGAGCTTAAAAGAATATATCTTATTATAATTATTTATAATAAATACCTCAAGATTATAAGCTTAATAGACCTTAAATTAGTTCTTATAAAAGATTACAAATTCTTGGTTATATTTAGCTAAGATAATAAAGCCCTGGCTTTAAGTCTAATTATTATTAAGAAAGTTATAATCTGATCTAGTATTACTAAATCTATTATATATTTCTAAGATACTTACTTCTAGCTATATTAATCTTACTTAAATAATTATATAAAGTAATATACCTTTTTTATTATAACTAAAATTATTAATATTTAAGATTTAGTCTTTTCTTTTCTTTATTTTTTAGGAAAGTCTCCTTTAAAATACTCTTTTATAGCTATAGTATTAACCTGCTTCTATAGATACCTTAACTCTTTTATAGTTTTGGCCTTATTAAGGTTCTACCGAGCCTATTTAATATACTTAGAATACTTTATATTTCCTGAAAAGTATTCTTTCTATTTATAAGTCTAATAAACTATATCTGAAGTAGAACTAGTACTTTATTAAGGCTTTAAAGAGATTAAAGTATTACCTAAGGATTTCTTATATAATTTTCGGAATTTATTCTTTCTTTTTTAATAGCTTTATAAATCAGAATTTACTAAATCAGGGTTTTTGGGAGTAGAGTTACCCTTACTAAACTTCTCCGTTTTTACTTTTCTTAATTTAGAATAAGTAGTATACTCTACTTTCTAAGCTTTCTCAAGCTACTCGGAAATAAATACTGCCTTATCTCCTAAAAGAATAAATATAAGTATCTAATAAGTCTTATAATCAGACAAAATAGTATTAAAAGTCCGGATCTGGTCTCTCTTAAAGTATAAGTCCTAGTTAATTTCGAGACTAATTATCCGAATATATAACTCGGTAACTATCTTATTATTCTTCTAATAAAGATCTCGGAATTCCTTAAAGGTATCTTATTAACGGGTTTAAGGTATTTAGAATATATTAGCCAAATAGGCCTTGAATTACTCCTAATAAATCTTATATAATAATAGGCTTTACTTTATTATAGCCTCCTAAGTATTATAAGATTCGTCCCTAAAGGCACTTGTAATAGAGTTAACTCTAGAAGAATATTTATTATAAGTCTAAAATTAGATCCTAAAGACCGCTTTTTAGGAGAATATAAATATTCTCTATTTCTTAAGGAATTTTTTATAATATAAGTCAGGTATCCGGACCTTAAAAAGCTTCTCTCGGTCCAAATACATCTTCAGGATATTATATAGTAGCTCCTAATAAATAGTATTAAGATTACTTTTAAAGCTTATTATATTAGGAAAAAGGGTAGGTTCCAACCCCATTTCAGGAAGTTTCCTAATAAGAATTACCGAGAAAGATAGAATAAACTTATAAATAGAGTTTCTATAAGATATAGTAAACCGTAAGGTATCCCTAAGGATATCCTTATATTACTCTAATTATAGGATATATTAGTTAATTACATCTACTAATTCTTGCTTTTATTAGAGTACTTCGACTTTAGTATACAAGCCCTATTCTATAGCTTGGGCGGTAGTAACTCGGATATTAATCTCGGTATCTTAATTATTACCGGGATTATTTACATTATTATTACTGGCTTTCGGAGGCTCCTGAGAGGCCCTGTTAAAAGTATTAGACAAGTCTTTACTATTACCCGTATTAGGGTTAATCTATTTGACTTCCTCTATAGAAATAGCTTTGGTAAGGAATTATATATTTCGTAGATTTCGAGATATAATTACTTATTAAACTACCTTCTTTAAAGATAGAGAGATTAGCTTATAAGATATTTATTAGTAGGTAATAAGATAATAGAATAAATTAGTATATTATAAAACTATAGTATTAAATTCAGTATAGAACTAATCTCTGTTTCTCTTATAAGGTCCAGGGAAGCCCCTTCTAAATAGAAGGCCCTGATAGTATATATATAATTAGTAATTTATAAGCCTAATATATATAATATAAATAGTGGTTAGTTGGGATATTAAAGAGCTACTAAACTCCCTAATTAATACCCGCAATATCCGAGGTTCATTATATGCCCTTAAGTTATATACAACCCTATATATATTATACTCTCCTTTTTCTCTTTAACTTAGTATTCTTAATATATAGGATTCTCTCGGATTTTTAAGCCTTTAACTATTGCCTTAATTCCGCCGTTATAACTTTTAATAATTAAGAATTAAAATATAAGAAAATTTTAATTATTAGAGTTATTATATATTTTATTAATAAGTATTATAAGAATATAATACATTTAATTAGTTTACTAGAGCTTTTAGGCTATTAGAAAGCTAGTATTAGTATATTGCTTTATTTTATTATCTCTATTATTTTTCTTATTATTTATTAAAGCCTTTATATTATTATAATATTATTAATTTATAAAAGTAATATAGTACTATTCAGGCGTTTCTAAGTAATTCTAGCTAATAAAAGGGCTTTGGCCAAATTTTAATTTACTTTTAAGATTATATAACTAATCTTTCTTTATAAATTAAATAATAGTTATATTATTTCTCCTTTAATAATTTAATATTACTAGAACTAATCTTAGCTATTTTATATTTAATAATAATACTATATTTATTAAGCTAGTAAAAACTATAAAATTTAACTTAAAAATCAAGAGATTATATTATATAAAATATATATTAAATCTAATTACTAAAATATATTTATATAAATAAGATATATCTGATTTTAAAAAGCAATTTAAGAAATAAGAACTTAGTAGTTATAAGAAGATATAGAGAAATTAAAGAAAGCTTAAAAAGCTTTATAATTTAGTAGCTTATATTATAGTATTTGAAAAGTAATTAAAGCTATTTATAGCCTTATAATTAACTAAAAATATTAGAAATATAATAGAAAAGAAATAGAAACTTATACTAGATAAGAATATATATTGAAATATAATATATTTTATAATTTATTATATTTTAAAACTAAAATAAGTCCTTATTATATATATAATATAATTTCGAAAAGATGTCTATTGGATTATTGCTACCGTTAGTACCAGGGCATCCTCAAACCAAACCAACCTTTCTGAATCAACAGGTCCTACCATCTCACAAGTTCTACTTTCGTGTTTTCCGGGAAGCAGAAGGGCAATAATATGATTGCCTATGGTAGACATTTACGGACACTAGAGTTTGACTATTAGCCAATTTGCTCGAACCTCTGCTGGCAGATATTCTGGGCCTATGTCCCGCCACGTCGGACCGATGTTGATGCTACCATTCTCTCCAAACAGCTGGGCAAAAGTAGAATTTGAGTCTTCCTACAGCAACTCCTATTGAACCTCAGACGCTTGCTTTACCGGCCCACCAAGGACCAAAGTCCCGCTTCTCACTCTCCCAAGCGGATCATCTATAGACATTGGTTGAACAACGCAACTGATAAAATCCGTCGCAAAAGGCTAGCTCGTTCCACCCGCAAGTAAGAACTTTATATTGCCATCCACAGCACCCCGGGACCACGATGACGCCTGGTATTCCTTTTGCCTCTCATATGGAATGCGTTTCGGAATCATTGGATCAACTTTCCAACGCAGCAATCGCAGAATTTCATGGCTCCAACAAACTCGCAAAATACTGGCCCCTTGTGTGACATTGAATCCTCTTGACAATACCCGAAAGTGCTGGTAGCTTGTCGCTCTCATTTGTGAGGAACTGAGCGGTGCAATATCCGTGGCCACCCTTACCAAAGAAGATATGGATCCCCTAAGAAACTAGATAAGTGATAAATCTAAGGGCGAAAGGTGAGGTACGCACTTCTGTCTGTTCAGAGGCGGGGTTCCGCACTCCCGTCTGAGTGGATTTTATATTCTGTACCAAAACTGATATACCGGCGAGAAAGCAGACACTACTGAAATGTCCAAGCTTGGTGATTCATAGGTGTGATCTGGGTTAATTTCGAAGGAAGTTTCCAGTGTTGATATAGGTGATAAGGGAGCACTCCATTCGTGCAAGAAGCTGTAGATGCCGCTGAAGTATTAAAAGTGGCATTGCCATAAATCTAGTCCATTTTTAACGCGTTGCTCATCCAATCCTGTTCGGATGCCTGGATTACGCGAAGGACATCGATCCAAAGATACCTAATGCCGAGCCTCTTAGTCATGTATATGGATTCTCTGAGCGTCGTCGGTAGTGAGCGTAGTGGTATACTTGCTCGGCGTTCATGTTTGTTGGAGCTGGACCACTGGTGGTTACAACGAAAACTCCTACATCCTCGCCCCAGCCTCACGAAAGTGCAACGTAGCTACCTCCTTGTGTTCAATCATCTTCCGGGACTTACAGAAAGGACTCACAAACATCACTAGCCTCGCCAACATCCAGAACACGAGAAGCGAGGGCGTTTGAGGAGACATTTTGCAATCGGTAGGTGACGGCACGCATTGTTTAAGTAATTCTCGAGCGCGCTCAATAACTTCACAACAGAGACATCGGTGGATTGGGAGGTGGCTTTCGATCGTGCAACCATCATGCCTGGCCCCGAGGACTGTTGAATTGTCGAAGGAGGTACTCATTCCGTTGAAGTTGTATAATGTGCACCAAGAGTGTAGAAAAGCTGGCTGTAACTGGAGAGGATGGCCAGCTGATCAGCAAGCGATGCATTAAGTCCGACGCCTTGTGAGGCTGTACTGCGACGCATTGTGGCAACCCTGTGCCAGAGGAAGGGCTGCACATTGCCGAGTGAAAATTGCCGTACGAGTAACGCCCGGCACATTTAATTCTTATCGCTCTCTGTAGTGTTGTGTAACCAAGACCAAAAGGGAGGCGATTCAAGGGCCTCTGAACCAGGCGGGGTTTTGCTACCTTGCCTATGTAGCGTCTGTAATAAGAAGTGAAGTGATAGGCACTGTACTGAGTTGCCTAATTGCATAAGTTCAAAAAGAATTCTACTTAAGGTATCTCCAAACTCGCTAAATTGACATTGCAAAACATCTCCCCTATCCCAAAATCCTTAAACTCCTATCACAATGCTTTTCACCATCTTCTCACAAATCATGTACATCCCCTCTTAAGCCCAGCATTGGGCCCCTGATGACTCGCAACCTTCTCCTTCCTCTGTCTCGGTGCCCAAGCCATCGGATTATAATCCCTGCTCTTCTTCTTCGCCGGCTCCACCTCATCGCTCCTCCACTCCTTCTTGCTCCTCTTCCTCTCTCCTTTCGCACCCTCAGCATCTACTTCAATAGCCTTCACACATCCATCTTGCCATGTCTCTTTCTCTTCGCCCGCACGCCTAGGCCGCGCAGCTGCTTCGACGAAACTGGGTGATGTTCGTTCTGAGGATACCAGTTTGGCATAGAGTGAAGTTGGAGATCGTGGTGTGGTGGCGATAAGGGTTGATTCACCGCCTAGAGGATTTACAAACGGTGTTTCCGCCTTTTGACTTTCGTGGAAGGGGAGCTGCAGCGTTTGAGAGGGGTCGATTCGGTGGCAAGGGAGGTGGGTCGGAGATGGAAGTTTTGCTGGCGAGAGCGGAATTGAAGGAGTTCTTTCTACTCGAACTCTGGCCTCGTTGGCTTGGTATTCGGAGGTGTTCATTTTGTTGTTTGGTGTGGATGTGGTTGGTTTTGAGTTGTCACTGAGATTGGTGGAGAGGGTAGTCAAGAGTTGCATTGCAAGAAAACTTGGCTATTGGAGTTGGAAAAGTAGAGAAAGTTGGTATATTAATCCCTGGTGAATGTATGCCGAGATTGGGAATAAGTTCCACTCATCTTGAGGTGGTCGGCGGATAAGTATTTGTTGTGTCCAGGTCGAAAGAGCCTGGATGTGAGCCTGCATGCACTGCCTCGCTAAGCTTCCAGGGGCAAATTTAGCCCGCCAAATGCCTCAACTCCGCCTCACATCACATCCTCTGGCTGCGAACACTGCCGCGCCAACTAGATCTCCACATTAGCTGGATGGGTGGTCCTTCTGTGGGTATTGGAGGTTAAGGAATTTGGTGGCTCGGGTTGTTTCGCCCGACAGCATTGCCACAACCTCAGGCTGTGCTTGTATGTGCTGATAGCCGACTACGTTTAAGAGCGGCCAGAATACGATGCAGAGAGCGAGAGTACCGCATGGTTTGAAAAACGATGGTAAGATATAGCCAGACAGCGGGATTTGAACAACGCCTAGCTCGGGACGAGCAGCTCCTCCACTCGATCTCATGACTTCCAACCCAAAGTCGCAGTTTCTCAATGAGATTGAGTCTTGTAGAGCCTCTTGAAATTCGTTGAGCAGATCAAAAATCTGCCCCAATGCTCATTGAAGACGCTGCTGTAATTTTGAAGTCGAGTGGTGAAGATTATCCCAGAATCAAGTCGATTTCGTTCTTCTCCATGCCGTTCCAAGCATCCTTCAATACACGGCCCAGCCTTTTTCGATAAGCAACACTGTTTTCCCATTCAATCCAGAGGACGCAACAAAGTTCTCCTACTATCAAACTTGATGGGTCATCGTCTTCCGGGGCGTCAGGTGATGGCCACAACCAATACCGGCAGTGAAGTCATGCTCGCCTTGCCTGACCTTTGCATCGTACCGCCCCCCGTTAGATAGCGACCAGTTCAAACCAGTACCTGCAGGGGGCTCAATATAGTTTGAAATGCCGAGATTGAGGCCCAGAGGCCCAATCCAGATGCAATCGTTGTTTTGGAGTATAGCGCTGACGGATTGAGGTAGTCCCAGCAATGATAGAGTGTAAGCCGAAGTACAAGCACCCTTCAAATAATAACGGGTAGTACGGTAGAGAGGATACTGTACCGTACGTAGATAACGTGAGGGACTTTGCTATCTGGGATGGGTAATGGATAGGCAGCTGTAGAGCTTGAGTCCTCATTGACGCTGTAAAACAAGCCCTTCTTCCACCACCCCGAGGGCATGGGTAAAGTGGGGTCAGTGAGGTATTTGACATATTGCAGGCTGGAAAGATTTATTGAAAATTTCTCGTCCCACGCGTGTCCCCGAGTATATTTTACCGTTGGGGCAGCTGGGAGAGCCAGCCCCCCTCGCGCATGCCATCTTTCGAAATGTGCTGAGCGGAACATGAGATGGCCGAAAATCATCTTCCCAGGCGCTGGTCATTATCGCGCCTTCCCACCCTGCTCTTGCCCAGCTAGATGGATTCTCTCTGTCCGTGGAATTGCGACGCCTTTGCGTAGGCTCCCTTGGTTGCCAAAGAAGGGACACATCAAAATAAAAATCCCGGTTCCCGAAAATGGAGACCTCATTGCGGATACTAAACTGGTGATGGCAGGCAAGGCGTCATCCGAATATGTCAACTTACGTCTGCTATGATCATTTACCAAGGCAACATATTGTCGTACATGAGGCGTAGCAAAAAAATTCGATTCGAGTTGCCACGGACTAATGTTTTCAAGTCGGCTGGCGGGTGCGGGATTGTCGACAGTAATGTTTCGTGCCACGCGGTTTTGTTGCATTCCCACGTTGCCAATTGGTATTGAAACATAAGCTCCCGAGGTGAGAAAAGCATTTCCTGGAAACTGACGAGGTGAAGTGACCCCTTGAATCCCGCGGAGGCTGCGGTTGGCATCCCATCCATTTCCAGAAAGAATAGCCTTCACGTATGCGTTGGCGTATATTCCAGCCATGGCCTAAATTTGGTCATGTTTTGACTCAGCATCATTCTGGATGACGCAAAGGAAATCAACCCATAGATAGGGAATGCCGAGTAGATCGACAAGATTGATGGGGTCTCGAATTATCCTGGGATTTCATCTCGGCGAGCTGCGAGGGAGTTTTCCTCTTTCAAGTTGCCGAGACTACGAAGGTACCTTTTTTGTCTTCAATGTTTTCAAACCTTCCTAGAAGTAGCCCAAGCAAGCGATCGGCAGTTTTGACCTCCACAGTGCACCTCTTCCGCACATCAATAAAAAGCAGATTTGGTCTTTCGATATGGGGCGAATCCTTTCCAAAGGGCCTATAGCATCGTGAAGTCTGCTGCATGATCTTCGAAGAACAGGTAGGAATGTGCTTGAGAATGCTGTGGTGTGACCTTTCAGAGTACTTGATAAGGGTTTATATAACTATCTGATAAACAAGATTGACGAGGATAGACATGCTCGTGATGCAGCAAAAAGCGATGGGCAGCAGCATGGCCGAGATTGCTGAGCCCGAGATTCGATTTAGTTGAGGCTCTCCAAATCTTTCGGGTTATGATCATCGCCAATTAGTCGATCAAAACCAAATAAAAGATAACGAAATACTGTCATGCGTGAGTGTAGAAGATGTACAGGACGATCGATTGCGCTAAGTCATTGCCAGATTGCTTGATCTTTAGATACAGAGTTTCATTTTTGGTCACCCAGAATCCTCATCTCACCTTATGCCGGTTGGTCGCTGAGTCCAATATTTGACGCAACCTAGACTGGAAACACCATGTCCAGATTCACGCTGAGGCGCAACACAATTCTGGTCAAAATGTGAGCCTTTTATCTCTATCGCAACCTGGTGGTTGAAGCAATATCTTACCTGGCACAGTCCATCCTTTTTCTTCAACACGAAAGAGCTTCTCTTCAGCTCGTAAGGAAACCAACCAATCTGGAAAGCGTGGTATTTCTTGTCGTGGTAGTTAACTTTCCATTCCGCACGGAGATCTTTCTCAAACATTTTCCAATTACTCTCAGGTGCCTCTCAGATGATGAAACGTTCTTCGATATCCGCGACACCCGCCCTTTCTGCTGGAGTTTTCGCGAACATGTCTTCCCTTGATACAATGGCAAAAAGCTGAGGTACGTGGTCCGAAGTAAACTGATGGCTTCGACCCAAGGCATTTCTTGCGTTCGAGAGCGTGTCCACAATCACTGCCCGCACGTGGAACTCAATGAAATATTGGTAAGTTGACTCGTACCTAAGACATCACCTTACAGCGAAGGACTGCAAAGATGGCACTGAAAGCAATTCTATGTCGTCCTAAGTCGCTTTATAGTACTGAGTACAACTTCGTGTCTCTAACCGTTGGATCCGTCCCGTCGTCCTTGGATAGTGCTTGAGCAACAGCCTCCGGCCTTTGATGTCGCGATTCAGAGACAATGCGTCGATGGAATGGTTAATGTGAATTGCTGGTAGTCCGTGCTCGTGGAATGACAGCGTATAGTTTTCTAGAAAGATTCCACGTGATTCCATTGACTGGGGTTGGAAGACATGAGGGCAAACGAGGAAGTATATGTGGTTGTACCTTGTTAGATGCACCTTGTTCAATTGAAGTGTGAGTCCTCCGTGCCCTGGTTTTCAGCGCCCAGAAGCGCCCTGGCGCCCAGCCTCGACTTCGAGAAGCCTCAGCTCTTTGTAGCACCGAAATTGATTAGATCGGATCTTTCCCAAGTTACTGTATCAGCGAAAGACACAAGCGCGGCTATTTTTGAGTCATGATTAGTGAAAGAGCTCGAAAGCTGCAGAATTCAAGATTGGATGTCGTCGAAGTCCAGTCGAGTCATGTGGCCTAGTTCACTCTCTTGGCGGCTGTCCAATGACGCGTTTACCGCGCCACCGCAACCACACTTCACTCCACTTCCTTTCTCTAACCTCGAAACATTGTTCACCGCAACGCAAACCTCGACATCACACTCCATTGGCGCCACTTGTTGCACTCGAGCGACCACAATACGATCTGGAAAGCAAAATAACTTAGCAGCTACCAACCTCCGCGCCACACCATTCATCTCGACGCTTGGAACACAACTATGGAGAGCACTAGGAATTGGCAGCAGAAAACACTATCGACATTCCCTCTATTCTCTCGCCTCCCAGTTGAGATTCGCAACCAGATATGGAAGACCTCACTTGCTCCTCGAATTGTGAAATGGATGCGAATGGAGGACGAGAATATCTTCGAAGTTCCATCGAAAACACTCCCCCTTCTCAGCGTCAACCGCGAATCTCGCGAGGCGGCATTCTTCTATGGCGAATATCGAAAGGTGTCTGCAGACCCAAGAACAATGTATTTCAGTCCAATCATAGATTATTTACTCTTTGATCCTGGCTGGATTGATCTTGTTGGCCATGCCAACGTTAGCAGACTAGACCCCATCAACACACTTCTTCCCGAACTCAGTAACATTCGAAACATCATGGTGCATCCAAACTACACTGAGGAACGCAAGATACCGACAGCACTGTTCGAAAACCTACGCTCCCTGCAACGCGTGTTGGTAGCCGTAGATGAGAAGATGATTGGCGCCCAGAGAAAACACATGGTCGCCACGGTTTACGACATCGACAAATACTTTATGTTCACGGCCAAGCAGCGTATACCAGATATCAAAAGACCTTATATTGCTGTCGGATGTGTTGGCTGGGTTGGGGCTGAACGGCATAGATGGCACCACCCCAGTGAGGATCATCGACGGCTTGTAGCCGTGTTTGACAACGAGGACCAAATGGCTGAGCATGCGGTCTCGCTGCGGGATGAGGAATGGAAATATGTTCAAGAACGCTTTAAGAAAGGACGGCCGAACTCCATTCTTAAATTCCGTCAAACAACTGGCGATTCGGGACGTCAATCCTTAAGCAGTTCCTTGGGATCCAGTGCTGCCCAACCTCCTTCTTACTCAGAGCCTCCCATAATGCAAGTAACGGACTCGGCAGAAGCCGAATCCTCAACTCAAGACGGAACTTTATATGCAAGAAACAAAAGGCCGCGAGTGGATGGAGATTTTCAAGGGCTTCAAACTGTGAACTCAGAGAGCGATGAAGAGCTTCCTGGATATGATCAAATTAGCTGATTTCTGCAAGGCGGGACTGCTTTTCGTCGAAACTCAATTCTCGCCTTACCTGTCTACGGCTTCAATCTTTCTTCAGTTGTTGGAGACCAGCCTTTCCCAGACTAGGTTAGATGGGGTCAGTCTCATAACAACTCTAGCACGGCCTCTCAATCAAACCCATTGTATCGATGACTGTGGTACAATGGCAATTCTCGCTCATCAATGTGAAGCGGTCTTGTCATCTCGGACCACGTGCGCGCCCATTCACACTACACTTAAAGACGCGACGGGAAGGCAACTCTACCTCGCGACAAACTTCGCTTCCCCAGAACGACACCACTCCAAAATCGTTTCCACGACCGAGAATCAACCACCCGCGATTCCACGTCTTCCTACCTTTGATGTACGCAAGGTAGTTCAACAATTCCGAGAGGTTACAGAGTCCCGCCAACAATCCTCAAATGACTGCAAGCTAACAACCTTGCTTCGCATTCGAATGTCCCCCACCAGGACGGCGTTGACCACGGACGAAGCCACGCACAGCTGTACCTCAGAAGAGCTTTCCGACTCGAACGATCCTTCCCAACATCGACTCAATACTTTGACATGTTTCGGCAAGCTTGCCATTGAGCTCCGAACAATCATATGGCGATTCTCTCTCCCAAGACAACGCAAGGTCCACGTCAATACTCGCATAAATTTGGATACTTCGGGTAAATTCCACCTGTTCTCCAAGTCGCACTCCCGATCTTCGTCCATCTTCTGGGTCAATCGTGACAGTCGCGCTATTGCCTTGAAGCACTATCGGGCTCTCCTTCAAGATAGCAGCAACCCGAGACGGAAGACTTAATTTCATCTCGCGTCCGATATTGTCGCCTTCCCCGATCTCCATCCGTTGAGAGAGGGCAACTTGCATTTGAAAGCTTCACCCAGATTTTTGGCCACATTCGAGGAGGTGCATTCGCTGGAGCTACATCAAATGTGGTGGAGTGGTTTCAGAACCTTCATCACAGGTCTAGGAGTCGAGTAGAGTATCGATATTTGGAACATGGATATCGTGAACTTCGAAGGAGTAACGGTCGTCCCGGTATATTTCAAAGGCCGCGATGAGCTTTCCACTGTGCTAGATACGGATGATCCTGGATTACCTTCAGATCCCGAACGCTATCCGGATTGTAAGGACAGTCTCCGATGTTTGTTATAACGAAGGCGAACGCGAATCCCAAATTCAAGATACCAGAGATCATCGTTATCGTCCCTGAAGATACAACTGAACTGAAGGAGCGTGATAGCGGAACTGATGATGAATATGAATCTGGCGATGAACAAGATGGAGAGCAAGATGATGAGCAAGGTGATGGATCTTCTCATTCAGATGAATCAGAAGAAGCTGACGGATATGACGAGTGACGCGGGGATTCCCTTTGCCAAACCGCAGTGGGGCGTGGCCTAGGTTCTGGAGGCACCATTTCGGCCAGGTGCAAGATAACTCCGGTGGTGTGTCAACTCGCCACCGACTCACTACACGAATCTTCTCCCGGGCGACTTTCCCGCAATGCACAGCTTCCGGTTCGGATCAGAGATACTCAATCTAGCGGTTCGATTAATTAACCATCTCAGTGGTCAGGAAAAGCAAGACTTGGCCAGATGTTTTGCGTGCCAAATTTGGGAAGTGAACGAGCTGTTGACACGTGACTGACAAATAAATTGAAGAGCTCAAAGTTGAGCACTAACTATTCATTGTGTGCTCTGCAGTTTGACATCAATTCTCATTATACTGTATCTTAACCCCCAAGACTCCATTCTGACCACTAAGCCCGTATCTACAACAGCCGTGACCCCCACACCCCCTAGACGAGCACGCCAGAAAATCCCCGAATGATGAAAACACCAGGCGCTCGCTTGTGCAGGAGAGACAGGGGCACAACAACGTTCTATTCGACACACCACGGCAGCCCATGCCTTCCGATCTCAGACCTTGCCCATCTGTTCAAGGCGTCATTCCTTTAATTCACATCTCACTTATATTCAGAGAGAACTAAATATAAAGGTGTTGCCAGCTCTCCATGAGGGCTTTGGCGTCGGGCAAGGATGCCATCAATAAGAACTCAATCCCAATGCATCGTTTCACAGGCCCGCGGTATCAGCGTGTCGCGTCCGAAGCGCCCGAAAGTGCCAGAGGCTCTGTGCTTCCAGGTGGCGAGGAGGAGGATGACAAAGCCTCTGATAATGACTTCCTTGATCTCCCTGATTTTGAAGAGGGGATTAAGGATGATGACCCAGTCAAGTCAACACTGCGGGGCAGAAAGGGAAAACAGAGAGCGTTAGGACCCCCAGGTGCCGAAAAACGCTTCTGGTTCCAGAGGTCGAAGGCCTCTTACGATCCGGGCGCAATAGCTACTCAGCCATCTGTCTTCGATGACCTTGACACACTGGAAGAATACAGACCGCCGGAGGAGTGGGAGAATATCCATCGTTTTGATCCGGATGAGAGATGGACTTGGGGTGAGGAGCACAACTTGATTCGGAAAATTGATAGGAGGATTATGATTTTTGCGGCGGTTATGTTTATGGCGTTGGAGCTGGACAGGTCAAACATTTCTCAGGCGTTGACGGATAACTTTCTGGAAGATTTGGGGATGAATACAAACGGTAAATTTTCATTACTTTTGAGGCTTGTATGAAGGTAGACTGACTAAGACAGATTACAATCTTGGAAACACGGCATTCAAGCTAGCTTTCCTATGTGCGGAACTACCTTCTCAGTTGGTTGCCAAGTGGATTGGTCCAGATATTTGGATTCCTACGCAAATGGCAGTGTGGTCAATCGTTGGATCAGCTCAGTACTACCTCAAAGGAAGGACTTCGTTCTTGGTCTGTCGAGCACTACTCGGAATGCTTCAAGGCGGTTTCATACCCGAAGTAAGAGTTCTCCTATCTTTCAGCTCAACATACCTGACATTCAATCAGATAATCCTATATCTTTCATACTTCTACAAACACCACGAACTCTCCTTAAGGCTCGGTTTCTTCTGGACAGCATCCACTCTGGCTGACGTCCTCGGCGCCTTCCTCGCCTTCGGGATCCTTCATATGCGCGGTGTCGAAGGGCAATCTGGCTGGCGCTGGCTCTTCCTCATCGAAGTCAAGTTCCTCTCTTCTCCCCTTCTTAACAGATAAACTCACAACATTTCAGGGACTCCTCACTCTCATCGTCGGTCTCTTTGCCTACGTCCTCATGCCCTCCTCACCCACCACAACTTCCGGTTGGTTCCGCGGGCAAAAAGGCTGGTTCACCGAACGCGAAGAGAAGATAATGGTAAACCGCATCATCCGTGAAGATCCCTCCAAGTCCTCGATGCACAACAGGGAACCCCTGACTCCAAAGCTCCTCTGGCAAAGTATCAAAGACTTCGACCTCTGGCCGATTTATATCCTTGGCTTGAGTTTTCAGACACCCATGTCCACTCCATCGAATTATTTGACATTGTCGCTAAAAGGTTTAGGCTTCGGTACATTTAAGACGAACCTTCTAGTCATTCCGAGTAAAGTGTTTCATGTCATTGCCATGCTGGGCCTTACTTATGCGGGTGAAGTATTTGGAGAACTCACTTTTACTGCCCTAATCGGTCAGATTTGGGCTTTTCCTTTCCTGTTGTTTATCAACCTGTTTGATATAAATGAGATCAACAAGTGGCTAGCTTGGATCGTTATGACTATCTTGCTTTCGTACCCAAACGGTAAACCTCCAATCCCCTCCTTCCTCCTCGGATTTTAGTTCCGTAACTAACACTTACATACAGCACATCCAATACAAGTAGGCTGGAATTCCAGGAACTCAAACACCGTCCGCTCACGAACCGTCTCCGCTGCCCTCTACAACATGTGCGTGCAAACCTCCGGCATAATCGCCGCAAACATCTACCAAGCAGACGACGCGCCGCGCTACAAGCGCGGAAACCACATCCTGCTTTCCATCCTGGTGCTTAACATATTTCTGTATCTGGGGACTAAGCTGTATTATGTAAAAAGAAATGCATATCGAGAGAGGGTTTGGGGTGCAATGAGTGCAGAGGAGAGATTGCAGTATTTGGCCACAACGAGTGATGAGGGGAATAAGAGGCTGGATTTTAGGTTTACACATTAGAGGAATGGGAATCGGTGATTTACCTGAATTCTCATCCTACAAAAACTGACTAGAATCGGAAGCGTGCTATAAGTTGTGATCTTAACGAAAGAAAAATTTCAGGCATGCGACGAGAAGAGAGAAAGGAGCGAAAGAAATATCCATCTGGAATACGGGGAAGGAATTTATAGACTATCTGTTGCAGTGCTATTGCAGTACGATCTCTCTTTTGGGCGCAGCGCGATCGCTCTGCTTAGTTAGGCTTTATGCACCTATATTCTGGAGTTCTGACACTTCACCTGAGCTCTTTTACTAGAAATTCAACTCCCTACTCTGCTTTATTTACGTGCATTAAGAACGAAAGCGATCAGCGAGCGTTTGTTAATTAGGGCAATGCAGGGATCAGAGAACGTTGTCTATTCTACTAAAAACGAGTCATCCAATAAACCAGAAGAGAGAAAAGGAAAGCAATTGAAGCAGAGAAGACCACCTCTTGTCCATATTTGTTGGGTGAAATATGAAGGCCATATCTATGGACTATGAACTTGTCTTCTGGTCCCACCTGAGGAAACTTCTGATTAGCTCGCAGTCCAGCAACCGTATGCGACTGAGGAACCCACAGATCCAAGAAAAGCTTCCACAAGATTGAGAACAACAGTCCTTGCAGGCCATTGCACAGGATCCGCGTCTTGAGTCCACGGCCAAAAAGTCCGATCACTCCGTCATCGAGGATTATCAATCTCGCAGCCTCAGCTATTTGTCGTCAGTGAAAATCCAGGGGAGCAGCGCGGGATAAGCACTAACCATAAGACACTTTGGTGTCATTGACCTGCCGGTAGGTTTTCACAACTCTCAAGGAGTTGGAGACTGAATCTGACACGACAGATGCGGCGAAACCAATGAAGGCCTGACGGAGAAGCCATAGGAGTATCTGATGGTCCTTCGATACCTCAGGGAGGTTTTCAGATAGGAAGTTATACTGTTACGCTTGGAATTTAGTTCTACTCCGGTTTTAAGAGGAAGAGGCTGGGCGTACAGTAGCAAACCATGGGTAATGTCCCACGAAGGTAGCAGCGGCAGTAGCAATTGCACCCCACCACAAGCTTCCGATTCCGTTCGTCTTGATGCGCTGACAGAGTAGAGCAGTTCCGCTGGCACCTTGCACCTGAAGGGTGGTCTTGAGGGTGTCAATTGGCGTGAGGATAATTCGGAAAGCCGCAGCGCTGGGACAACCAATATCAGCTCGCGAATCGCATGCAGGGATTAGGTCAAGATCCTACCATAGAGATGCAAATATTGTCTGGATAGGTGTTGGCAAGTCTTTCAAATACGAATTTGAATGAAGCAACGCAAGAATTCCGGCATTGGCTGCCGTGTCTCCGAATCTTGAAACAGGTCCTAGATTATCAATTGATTTGCAATTGAACTCTGATCAGAAAGCTCACCTTGGATCAATGCGGCACCAAGACCTTGATAGTATCTCAAATATCCTCCGTTTTCATAGAGTGTCTTGGCTGCTGTTGTGAAAGACGTTCCAAAGCGATATTGGTAATTCATGATCGTGCGAAGTGGCTAAAGAATGGTTCAGTTCTAGTTAAGAGACGATGGAGTATCAATACCATCAGAAGTAAAACTTGTAGAACCATAGCTGCTGCTCCACTCAGGCCACCTCCGAGGGCTCTCTTGAGAGCCGCTCCCAAGTCAAACTGTAAATGAAATGTTAGGTTGACTGAACGCTTCCAGGTCTCGTGTCTTGGTACTTGCATTGACATCGGAGCCAGCATCAATCCATCCCTTGATAAATACCGCAAGGATGAAAGCTGCTACAATCACCCAAAAGATCCTCCAAAAGTACCAGCGAGCCCATGTTGGCTCTAGCTGCTTTGGGTCCAGCTCTTGTTCTTCACTCGTCAGCTCATCATTAATAAGCAGCGGCGTCTCTTCATCGACAGCTGCTGTCCGGTTCTCCGTATCGACGTCGCCTTCGTGAGCCATGGTGTTGATTTAGGTATAATTGAATGATGAAGAGGTGGTAGTCCATTCACCCAAGACTACAAGCTCGGGATGAATTACTAATGATGAACCGCGATGATGTGCTCACCCACTCTTGAAACGCTATTGCCGTTAAAGCCGTCTTTTGCCAAGGATGATGCTTAGTAATGAGGGATGGGAGATGTTGGAGATTAAGCGAGAGTGAAAAAAGGGGGTGGGGCATGGCTTCAGGGGCTGGTCCAAAGTTGAGAATTCAGCTTCAAAGAAAAGTTGCTACAAAACTTCGAATTGAAGAAAACTTGGATACTCTGAGAGGATAGAGTGGACGCTTCAAACTGTTGATTGGTTGAGGCCATGTCACGGGAAATTAGAAGAACAAGGGCAAGTATGAGGGAGCATAGAGGCGAAACGTTGCATAGCAATAGTGAAGTGAAAGTATTATTCCTTTGATCTTCGCATTCGTAAACCTTAGTATTTCTTCTTCCATTAGCCCTCACTGCTTCGCCCGTTTCCCTCTTGCGTATTTGTATATATATCCAGCGTAGTAAATATTTACGTCTGCTCGCTAAATGAGAAAAACAGACGTGAGAGATTGCTCAAGAAGTTGGCAAAAAGACAAAAGAATCACCAAGCCCGGAATTATGGAAACTGTAGTCTTGGTGGCCAGAAACTTTGCATGTTTACTGAATGGAAATCTCTAGCAGCAAGATCGCTTAAAAGACCCACCCAAGTTTTCTGCCAGAGCGTGACAGAAATCAACGAGTTGGCTCAGCCCGCCAATTCTCCCTTTCGCCTTCGTCAACTTCAAAACTGCAACCTTCCGCGACTATCAAAGCCTCAACATCCACCTTCTCTACCCGTAACCTTGATTCCTGCTGCATCGCTGATGGGACACCCATCTCACGATCTCTCCGCCAGCAGCTTCGCAGAGCGAGACATCGCAGTCATGGAGCCCAGCCATGCTGAAGATGCGCCATCACTCGGTTATCTTTCCGCATCGAGCAGTCAGTCTATCTTTAGAATTCTTCGACTTGAGTAAGTGTGTCCTTTAAAGGCACTGAGTGTTCCGGAAGTCTTGGGGCAATGAGGAGTTTTCTCGGGTCTGGCTGATCAGAGAATGTTAACACCAAACATAAGCCCCTGATCCAGATACCAACTTGCTCCTTCAACCATTAGTAACCTTTATACTTTTCAAGAAGCTACCTATCAATATCCGCCTCTGGATTTGGAACTTGTGTTTGACGTGCGCTCGACTTGTCAGGTTGTCCTTCTACCGCGAGCGGAAGAGACTCTTGAAGCAACCGATTACACTTCAGATCAACCACGACAGCGGCTTGTCACTTTACGACACTCCCATCTCCTGACGCAGGAACGTTCGAGTCTCTTGGAACTTGAATTCAAACCTTTGCGCGTGTTGCTTTTCGATCCCGCAGTTGATACCGTCGCTTCTGACATTAAAATAGGCTCCCGGATGTCCGGCAGACACTGCAATAATGAAGAAAGCATACTCCTGGCATAATCACTGAGACTGGATTCTTTTAAGTGGAATAAAACAGCTTGTATTTCAGCACTTGCTACTGGACAGTGGGTATATGAAGAACTGTGGACGGGAAACCACTATATCACGGCCCACTACTTCCAGCAACTAGATAAGTTGCACTTGAGGTTGGCTTACTCATGTTTTAACAGAAGCCACCCAGTGGAATGGGCAGAATATTGCCGGAATCAGGTGCTTGGATATTTTGAGAGACGGGTGTTCGCGACCCCAAGTGCCCGATCCCGGAGATTCTTTTTCAAATGGAAGATAAAGGCAGAGCCTGCCAAGATTCTACAACAGTGAGTGGTAGAATGGTGCAAATAACCTATCTCATTTTTATCGGTTCTTGGGCCTGCTCATCTAGAGCAAATTTTTGGAAGAAGGCACTGTTGCTGCTGGTTTGGGTCTCGGAATTCGGGCAACGTCAATCTTCTTAGCATGTTGTGGCCTGTAACATGGACACAACCACGTAGAGAGAAGACTACTGAATGGCACAAGGAATTGTTGGAAGCATATTTTGAGAAACGAAATAAGAAGTTCCCTGAGACCAAGATCCATAAGATAGTTTGTTTCACTCCTGTACTTGCTAAAGAGTTTGATAAGTGGTGATTATTGGGGGTGGGAATATAAGAATGGCCTAGTTGCTGCTTGGGGGGAGGATAATAGGGTAATTGTGTATTCGTCTTTTTCGTAGTCTACAGAATATTCCACACAGTAGAGAGTATAGGGAGTTCGAAAGACGAATCCATATTGAGTTCAGCTCTCAGAAATTTCAAGATGTTCCTCGCGTATTCCTCGGCAACTCCAAACTCCACAACATAACATAACAATATCCTTCCCACTGACAAACCTAGGAGCTGTCAGTATTCTTCTCGCAATCAGCAATCGAGATTTACAACATCATCGACACAATGGCAGGTCGTTCAAGTCAGACATCAGGAGACGCTGGCGACAGCAAATCAGCCACAAAACAAAACCTAGGTGAAGCTGCAGGTCACAACGTACCCCTCCGTCGCTCAGCTAGAATTGCGAAATGAACCACTTTACCTCTTCATACCGAGTCTCATATTTCTCAAGAACGCCATCGTCTAACTGGAGACGGTGATGAGGTAGCCACACTCCAAGAACCAATATTCAAGCTGTTCCCCAAGCTGCCCATCGAACTTCGATTGCGCATCTGGCGATTCACCTTTCGTCCCCGCCAAGTATTCAAATTGCTTGTGATAGAATCATCCTTCTTAATAAGAAAGACCCCACTTGCTCGGCCAATACAGCTTCCCCCTTCGTTAACCGCGAACCTTACGAGACAACCGCCTTCTCTTCCGTAGCAACTCTACCGCAATATACTTCAACCCCATGATATAATCCAATCTCAAGAACGCGTAGAGCGCCGACCAATTTGGCTTGTTCACATATTATGGAGGAATCGTCGACCACATTAAGCACAACACATTCTACAGGTTCCACGGGGCGCTGGACCCCTGCTCCTGTCGAGGAACAAGGAGAATAGAATATACACTTTCACCAGTGCAAGGCGGTGGAGAAGCTCACTTTGGTGTTCCCCATCCTGGTTAATGGCAATGTAACACAGAATCGCAAAGCAGAGATGGAGCAATATCTGGAGAGAAATAAGAAGTTGGTCCCTCATTGTTGCAAGGTTCCACAGCTCCTCTGCTTTTGGGATGGAGAAGACAATTTCTGAAATCTCAGGAACCGAGAGAGCGAGCAGTGGCTTGGATTGCCAGGGAAACACCCGAGGGGAGAGACCTGGTTCGGATTATTCTGAATGCACTACAGAAGGTACGCATGATGGAGTTGCCTGAATAAATACAAACTCATCACTTCAATATTTCTTACACTTCAACACTCGATGTTCGATGAATTTCATTTGCAAAATCCCATATTTGGGTATATGGAGTACTTCGGACCCAAACCTCTGGGTTAGCAAAGGAGTTTTCGGGTACCGCTGCTGTGTAGCAGCAATTTATACAGCGTTTGCCTCTAAAATGCTGCAGGTACGCAGCGGCTGGAGCAGATTCGGTTTCCCTAAGCGAGCCTTCCTAATTTATTGTTCCAGGCCGCCTTTCCCAGGTTCTTCTTCACCTTTCCTCCAACATAGACGGAAGGAAGCTGCACTCCGTTGCATCTACCTTCTGCGGACACTCTTTTCCTTCCATCCACCATCTTCTCCACCATCTTCTCCATCATCTTCTCCATCTTTCTCTCTCTTGCCTCGACATCTCAATTTTCCGAGATTCTTGTCAAACGGTTCCACCTCACAAGGGCGCATCAAAAAGAACCGCCAACTACACCCTTCACCAACTTCCGTCCCAACCACCATTTCAAGATGGGTCGCTGGGGAGAGCACTTCTTTGAAGGTGACCACGATCTCGACGAAGCTTCCTACATTTCAGAGGACGCCGGTATCGAACTCTACTACTATGAGCCTGATAAGGATGATGCGAAGGAACCCATCGGTGGCAAGGGTCTTGAAATCACTCGTGGATATCTCAACGGTGGTGTCTTGAGCGGTCTCTTTGAGAAGTACCTCCGAGAGAAAGACGAGAAATTCTTCCTTGGCAAGGAGCTTCGCCTTGTGCTCACTGGTGAGTAGTGCCCTACTTTGCGTGTGATCAGGCCTTAACTTGTGGATCCAGCCGCTCTTGCCATGCGCATTGGAGCTACCATCGAACCTAAGTACATGGACATGCTCCGAACCAATTACAAGAAGATCCGAGTCGCGGCCAAATACTCTCTCCCGATCTGTGACACCGGTTTTCGTGGCCCGATGAAGGAGCAGTTCGAGACTGCCCTCACTCATTACAAGAACGACGGCACTCCATACGATTTCTTCGCCGATCGTTGCAAGGGTCCAGGATGTGGCAAGGCTAATGGCGAGCTCAAGGAAGGAACTCTGCTGAGGAAGTGTGGCAAATGCAAGGATGCCAGTTACTGTAGCAAGGAATGCCAGAAGGCGCATTGGGCTAAACATAAAAAGTTGTGCCAGACGCCGGAGCAGCGTGAGGCGGAGGAAGATGCTAGGTGGACAGGGAGTATCAGAATGCTCAATGTCTAAGCATTAGAACTTTGGTGGAAAATCTCTGCTGCTTGTTCGGAGTGAGGATCAATTATATATTTGCTGGTTTGCTTTCGGTGATTTCACAAGGTGGTGGTTTCATGGCTTCGGGGCAGGAATGGAAATGTTTTGCGATGTATTTGCTGCGAGACAAGTCGAACAACGGCGACGTCTATACTAAATAATCCCCGCTCTTTTAAACTGCATTGAAATAAAATCAGATTTCTTCTTCGTTATTTCAATCAAAATTGCTCTGCTAATGATTCCTGAAACATATCGGCTATGATCGATTCACCTCGAGCTTACGCGAAGTGGTTCTTGTAAATATCAGACGCGCCTTCGCTCCTTCTCAAAACATCTCCAAAACATCTTCGAAGACATAACAAGAGCTGCCACCGCACCACAATCAAGTCAAGGAAAGAAAGTGCTTCCGTCAAGGCTGCTTGCAAGTACCAGGACCACGTCGAAGTTCAGCGTCGATTTTAGAGCGACGAGGAACACTCCACCTTTATGCTCCATCTTTCACGACGCAGCAACCTCCCACTCACCTTCCGAAATCCAGAACCCGCCATAAGCAAGCATTACCTAGAGTTCAAGAACACTTCTAATCACGAGAGCTGCCTGAGCCGTCGTAATTCAGCATAGGCTTCATCTTCGTTGAGCATCCTCCAACATTCCTACAACAGCCATCTCCTTCGAGCACCACAACCATGCAAGACTCTCGCGAAGAACAATCTCCAAATATGACAGAAGAGAATTCCATCGCGTAAGAACTCTTCTAGATCCTGCTAGGCAGGAAGCTAACAAGCAGCAGAACTCCTCACATCGAACAAACCAAGGGCCCCGAGAATCCCGAAGACATTGCCGAAAAGCTCTCCCTCCTCGCCTTCGAACTCGCTGATCCAGAACAAGACCTTTCTGTTCAGGAACCAGGCTGCGGTGCGACCACGTTCACTTGCTTCCCGAATCTGCCTATCGAGGTTCGACTGATGATATGGAGAGCTACTTTTCCAAAAGGGCGACAGGTTAAGCTGAAGATGCAATGGGATACGGGAAAGTATTATGGGTTTCCCCTTCCTGTCACCCTGGAAGTCAACCATGAAAGCAGAAAAGAAACTCTCCAGCACTATCTGGTATACTTTCAAGGTTTTTGTTTTTCATTGGGTAGTCGGCAGCGGGAATACACTAGCTTGTTAATATGTCTACTAAGAGACTAAATTAACTAGTACATCCCGAACATCGGGACCAAAAATAATTCAACCTAATCTGGCAGACGACTCATCTTTTTGTTCTGAAACAACCACAAACTTGCCGGATAAAGATCAACTCTGGATCGATGACATTTGGTTACATTTAATTAAGGAATTTTATCTCCGAAAAGCGACGAAGAGATGATCAGGAAGCAGGAATGATAAATTTCGAGGAATGATTCTACACGATCTCGACCGCTTTTATCAGAACTTGGTACACCAAGCTTGGAGCCCGGTTTCTTTTATGGAGCTATTATTTTTTAGTTTATTTTTAAAGGCTTCCATGGCATATTTCCGAGTGAGATGCATAGGTCAAGCAGCGCATCCTCCTCACTACGCATACATAGCATATTCCAGGCACATCAACATAAGGAGCAAGGAAAGGAGTTAGACGACCACACAAACCTTAGACCTTCCCAAAGCTTTTATTGCTCACAAGTTTGGCCCAATATGACTCATTCAGGGAACTCATCATATTTATGCTCATCCAGTGATCAAACACTGGAGAATAGAACCTTTTCGTACGTTGTACAACTTCCCGCTCAGGCAAAACTGACTTTGTTTCCAGGCCAGAACCTCCAGCGCCCAATTCAGACGACATCGATGATGCGCTCGAGAATCTCTCATTGCTCCAAGAGCAAGCAGACCCGGTCCAAGGCCTCGTCATCCAGCAGCAGCTTGCTCCATCAAGCTTCCCAAAATTCAGCCTCTTACCAGCAGAACTTCGTCTCCAAACATGGAGGGGAAGCTTCCCTGCTCCACGCTCTCTCGATATTAGCCAAGCTTTCATCCGAATGCGAGAAAGGCCACTCAAAATAGATACATCGACTCTTACAACGTTACATGTTAATCAAGAGAGTCGGGGTGAGACGCTAAGGTATTACCGGGTTGCTCTGATTCCTCAGCCCTACAGACGGGTGGTGTGGAAGGTGCGGAGGTGGGGCGGCCACTACCAATGGCAGGAGCCAAAGCAAACAGCCCAGCCGCGAGTCTGCTTCAGTCCAACGAGGGACTTCTTCTACATGGAGGACCCACATTGTCTCCCTCGGCTGCGCAACTTGACTTGCATAGACGGACTCTCCATTTTCCACAACATCACGGAACTGGTATTGTCCAATGTGTGTTGGATCAATTGTGAGAGGTGCTTGGAGCCTATCCAGCGTTTTGATAGCCTGGAAAAATTGACGCTAGCTATCTCAATATCGCGTTGGGAAACCGATGGCCTGTGGTGGAACCCCGATAATTTGGAATGGATGAGTAGAGCGGAATTTTTTCGACGCTTGAATGAATATGCGGCAGAGCTTAGGGGGAAGGATCCTTCTCGCCCAAAGTTGGAGATTTCAGTGTGGCCAAATAGCGGTGTGCATCCATCTATGTGGATTAAAGGAAGAGAACACTCAGGGTAGGAGAGAGGTGGATTGGCTTGAAGGAAGATGATTTTAAGAAATAGAAGATCGATTCATTGAACTCACAGCTTTCTTTGTTGAAACTCTCTCCAGGATTTGCCTTTTTTCCCAAGAACAAAGCGTTATGAACGACACTTAATTTACGATGCTCATGTAAAATCTACGTTGCCCAACTTCGTAGTGAAAAGGGAATCGACCGCATTGACCAGCTTGGGAGCCGTGCATGACCCCTTTTTAGCCGAAGGCCTCCAGCAACATTGTCGGGGAGACCTATTTTGCAACCTTTACTGTCTTACACAGGTCTTGCATTGTATAATTAGTTTGTGGAGGTATTGATTATTCAATTCCAATAAGGATAGTAATTGGTGTTTCCTTTCAGCTACTTGTCATTTCATAGAGAAGATTCCAGGAACCAGCAGGACTCTACCAGTCCGCAGGGAACTGAAAAAGGCCCAAGGCAATGGAATGCTGGATTTCTTTAGGTGATTGAGTTCTCTTTAATTTTTAGATAGAATTGTATACAGATGTATACATGCCGGTAGCGGTAGTCGCCTACTATGTTCAACAGTAAAGCTGAGCCTGCCTTTCTTCGCCCCTCAATGTAGCAAGCACTAGAGCGAGAGAACGTGATACAGTTGCTCTAATCTCAGTCTGAAATGTATCTATCACATCACGGCTACATAGAGGAATAGATTTCCTCGATCGAGACACAATTGGTTATGGCCATTGGGTCAACTCGTGCTGCGATGTATTGCGCCGCATTCCTGCTCCCATCACTGCTTTCGTCAATGTAGAGAGTCGTTCTGAGACATTCAGACAATACCAAGTACTGACTGTTAATGATGACCCGTGTTGTCAACGATTACCGCCACAGCTCCTGAAAATCTCTGGAAAGCTGAATCGAACCATGTTTTGGTATGGTGGCCACGATATTCTTCGTAATCTTGTGAATGGATAGATCTCTCACGCCAACGATACTGTACCTGAGCAATTTCTTGAAGGGCCATTTTAACCCAGACGAACAGTCCAGCTATGATTCTATGCTTCAGTCCTCACTCTCGAACTCATAATGTGGTTCTGGGGTGAACATGAGAGAACAATAGTTGAGGCTTCGCTGGTGGCTTTCCCTATGTTGCAGAAATTGCGTCTCATAGAAGCCTCGTCTGAAAGTAATCAATCTCGCTACTAAATTATGGGTGAAAATCGGAGGAAATGGGTTGAGAGGTTTACGAAACATTTGAAAGTCACGTGGCCAACAATTCGACGAGATACATCCCGAACACCGTCATTACCAGGGAAGGAAGGACTGTCTTTGGACCAGGTTGGTAAAAGTACCCGCTCCACACGGGTCAAGCGGAACAGAGGGCTTGAGGAAAAACGGAGGAGTGCCATGGATCCCGGAAAGATTCTGAAGTGGAACTTGATAGACTGCTGAGCGGATATGGATCTTCTAAGAAGATGATTGCGCATGGGCAAAGGAGCAGTCTGTGGAGCATCAGACAATCACAAAAATAAAACCAGACCACTTGAAGTTTGCGTCTCATGAATGGGCCACGAGGATGAACACAGTTTCAACAACATGGACGAGTTGAGGAGTCCACTCAAAGATTTACGAGTCTGGAGGTATTGAAAATTGATGGCATCTGTGATCAGAAGGACGAGGGTAACTATGAGGACTCGAAGTTGAGTGGACCTCCTTACCAAGGTTGCTCTGAAGCTACCATGGAGTACTTCAAGAGAAAGCAGCAAGAAACAACAGTTTCCACATTCCGCGAGTGATTATTGTAGGCAAGAAGGGCACATTTGAGTGAGGCTTCAAAACTTGGGGATGCAGTGAGCAAAAGATAACTGACTGACTTCTTTCAAATTGAAGATCCTCTGTCATGGAAAGAGATAAGTAGATGATAATAGAAACTGACAGATTATTTCCAACCACGGTAGCAGAGGAATATCACATCGTAACTAGAAGTACTGAATACATAAAGAGTGCACGCTTATTTCATTAGCTTCAGTTTCTGACTTGTCGAGGACAGCACAACCACTCTCCGAAGTCACTGTAATTAAATGTTACTAAAATTGAGTTTAAATATCTCTTAAGATTATATACTATTATGCATTGCATCAGAAATTGATTTGAACTGATTCAGGGGCATTTGTTGACATTTGGATCCGCTCGCTTACGTCACGTGTTAACAACAGGTACCTTTTGGCTTTCAAACTCCGCAGGCTCTTGACACAGAACAACCCATGCATCGCAATCGGATACCCAATAACCTTACGGTTCACCCAAACGTGCTCGGAGTAATTAATTCATGCCCCTCCGCCATGGGAGAGCCGCAGTCTGTTGAGGGCGGCGAGTAACGCTACATCCGATCCCAACTTTTGCGGGTGCACATCGCCGGATGCCGACATGAATGACGTGACGAGGACTTTGGAACTTCAATTTGAATTGCCAGATTTTGAACTTGAGCTCGTAGCCCAGAATTCGGATACTTTCACATGTTCCCCTAAGCTGCCGCCCGAGCTTCGACGAATGATCTGGAGAGCAAGTTTACCTGGAAATTGAACCCTAGGCCTGCATTCGCTTCTGCACAACGTGAATACAAATGGCGCGACTGCTTGGTGTTACTCTAAGGAACCACGGAACCGCGACCCAAAGCTCCCTATCGCCTTGCATGTCAATCAAGAAAGTTGCCGCGGTACGTTGGACCGTTACACCATCACTTCCAGTATTTGGAGATGTGGCAAATCCATATCGAGGAGCAAGCATGTACTGCGTTCCCCTTTGTATAGACCCTACAGTCGACTGTGTTTCAATGAGTCTCCGGGGCCTCGTTTCACGGCCGAGATATTATCCCAGGTTATTGGAAATATTTTCCTAATGTCGAGAAACGCTTTGAGAAGATTCGGAAATTGGAGATACAGGACATCTAATGGCTCGAAGATGGTCAACATTGCTGCACAAACTTTTTACGCAGTGAGGATTCCTCAATCTATTTCACGAGCTGAGGGAGCTTCACGTTGCAGAACCACGAGACGTCACAGTCCGAAGATGAGAGACGAACCAACAGCACTAGAACCGTACCTGCAGATATTGTACAAGTGGTTTGAGGATATTAACGGCAGGCACCCTCCGCAAGCACTGTGTTCCATACCAGAAATTAACCCCACGACTGTCGATAAATTGAGCATCGTTCAGATGAAGAACATCGAAACCTTGGACGAATCCCATGCTCCCTAGATAAGGGACCAATTGAGTAAATGGCAGGCACAATGACTCTCCTATCTCAATGTTGCAATAGCAAAGCAATCAATAACATCTCAAATCCCACAATTCTCTCTCATCTCCAATCTCAGTGGACAAAAACAATCATAACTCGAAAAAAGTCCGATATTATTGCACGTATCTCACACCCCACTTATCAATCGCAGAATCGAATCTTCCCTTCCCCAGGATCCCCTTGCCAAAAAAACCAAAATGCGTATGTTACAAAATTACACTGTTGCTTGAGCGACCCTTACATTATTTCTCTTTCGGTTCTCTGATCGTTCCACCGTCTATAATACACTCCTTCCATGCAACCCACCTCGATCCAAAACCCTTCTCTCAAATGATGGATTAGATGGGTGGGCTAAGTAGACTTCTCCCCCATAACATCAACGTACCCCCTCCCCTTCTTCTTCCCCTTTGCCGTGCCCTTCCTCCCCCCAGCGGCCGACGGCGGACCCAGCAGATCATCAATACTACTCGCGTTACTCATTCCTGTGCCCGGTCTACTCGGCGGTGCGGTAGGCGGTCCACTGCCTCCAATACTACTCCCATTACTGACACTCCTGCTCATTCCCGGCGGCACCAAATTCGACTCGCTCTGCGACGTAAGAGGCGGACCAGCCTCGGAAACGGCGCGCTGAGCAGGTGGCGGAATCCGCGGCGTCGACGTCGGCCCAGCGGTAGGCGGTCCGCTTGCAATTCGAGGTGGGCCCGCTCTTGGCGGCGGAGGGGTCGCAGTCTTAGCTTCCGTGTTCTCGGCGCCGGCCTTCTTGTTGATCCAGCGCTTGAGCTCGGGGTCGTAGACGAAGTTGTTGGCTTCACCGAGCTTAGCTTTTATGGGCTTGTTGGGCTGCGCACCCATGTCTGGCTCTTTCTTGGAGCCGCCGAACCAGCCGCCGAGACCCCAGCCTCCGCCCTTCTTCTTTGCGGCTTCTGCTTCGTTGGCTTTTTGTGCTGGATACTGTGTTAGTGTGGTCAGGGAAAGAGGAGAGGAGGGAAAACGTACCATCAGCTTCGGCGGCCCTACGGAACGCCTCATCGGCCTCACGATCTTTCTCAGCTTTGGTCTTTTCTCGTGAAGTTGGAGCGGCTTTCAAGGCTGGAATGTCGTCCTCGTCGTCATCTATGAATGATTTTTTCTTCGGCCTTGTGTCGACCGGAGAGTCTGGTTCATCATCCATAGTTGCAGGTTCATACGACGGCGGTTCGTAACTGCTGCTTGGTGGTTCATATCCACCTGTGGCCGGGGGCTCGTAGCTAGATGGCGGTGGCTCATAGCCGCCAGATGCTGGGGGCTCGTAGCTGGATGAGGCAGGTTCATACCCGCTTGAACGAGGAGGCTCATAGCTTGAGGAGGGCTCCCGAGAGAAGAGTGGCTGTGGGGGAGCGTATGATGTTGTTTGCTGCGTGCCCTCGTAATTGTTTAGCTGTTGAGGAGAAGAATAGATGTCCGCAGGAACTTGTTCAGTGACAGGAGTAGTTGGTTGAGGAGCATACGGTGATTCAGCATAGGGAGAGCCAGTATTACCGTAGGGAGTGTATGACGATTGTGGTGTGTAACTGGAGCTTGTCTGTGGCGTGGAAATACTGGGGGGGTTGACCGGATTGACTGGCTGTGAGCTTGGACGATAGTCGGACATCTGGGACATCTGCCGTTGTGGTTCGTAGCGTCGGAACTCCCCGGATGATCTTTCTTCCATCGAGCTTCGAGGCTGGGATCCGTATGATGTCGCAGACTGGGGCTCGTGACTGGGTGGTGTGTACGGAGCTCCAGGAGCGTATCTTGATGCAGCCTTCGTTGTTAGCCCAGCAGCGCTGCCATTGATACCAAGTCCACCGTTGTAAGAACCATACAACTCTGCATTCGAAGGCGAACGACTTATCGTTGGGGTACCGCCAGCAATACGAGCAAAGGGACCAATGTCATTCGCACTTCCGGCACTTGATCCTGCTGCAGCAGCTTCAGTCTCGTCGCCAGCAACGAATTTGTTAAACATAGTAAATACGGAACTCGTGGCCTTCTCGACCGTTGGTTTCTTGATCCAAGAACCCGAGTCGTCTTTAGGCGATTGCTTTAGTCGTTTACTCAGATCATCAAGGGCAGCTACCAAGTGAGGATGGTGATATGGTGATCTCTTTGTTTGCGATGTAATCGAAGTAGCGATGGCTTCGCAGTATTGAAGCGCTTTCTCTCGGTAGCCATATTCAGCCAGAATCGTAGCATGCTGCAACTTGTAGACTGAAAGATGAGGGATGGAGATCGCCAAGTTCGAGGTATTTGAGAGAGACATTCCATATTCAAAGACCTCACTGAGGAGAATGGGTTCCATCTCTCGGTCAAAGTCGTGTGGTTGTCTCAAGTGATCCGATCCAACCAGGACGATGGTTGATGACGGGTCATCAATTCCACCAAACATAGAGTGACTTCTTGCAAACAAGAAGCAGATGTGCGCCGCTTCGGCACGGCCATAACCCGATAACAGCTTGCCAAAGGCATTTAGAGCCAGACTGTCATCGACACTTCTGTTGCTCAGAACAAGCCCGAGAGTCTCTCGCCATCGATCAAGCCCATCAAGGGCATCCCTTGATGGCCCAGCAGCATTTGAAGTGCTGACCATCTGAAATCCTGCTCGAGCAGATGGGGGGACAAGCTCGTCAATACTTTCCTCGAAGTTGCCCGCAAAGATTTCATATAGAGCGGCAAGAGATTGTGTGTTGTCTCCGATATTCTTGACCTCCTTCTGAACAAATTCTTGTGCAACCTGCTTGTAGAGGTCACGAGACACAGTGTTTGAGATAAGCATTGCGTGGGCCCACAATCTTTTGTCAACCGCTTCCCATACTGCTTTCTCACGCTCACCGCGTAGAAGATATTTTCTCAGTTCCTCAACCGCGCCAGGGTCTATCGGGTCGGCGCTTGGCGCATTTGCAGATCTTGAAATCCCCGAAAGTTCAGCTCCAGTAGCGTACAATGGAGCATCCAAAGAAGTATCGTCTAGTCCTGGAGATAGTACAGCACGGACTGCCTTCATAACGACGTCGTTCCCTTCTAGAGTTCCATCGTTTTCAATGAAAACACGCAGGATCTTCCAGAGCAATATCCTTTCTTCGATACGTTTGTCTTCGTGGGACAGTTGCGACGCCGATCGCAGATATGAGGCATTCTGTTCAAGGATCTCGATCCCAGAGGCCAGCCACGCGATAACCTCTTTCTTCTTCGCCTTGCCCTTTAATGGGCCGGGGAAGCTAGTCAGACGTTCCGGAAGAGGATCAACTTCCTTAATGTTGCGGATTTTAACCTGGCCAGGGCTTCGAACAATCATTGGGGTTACTTGATTGATTCCATATCGAGGGACATCCGTTGGAAACGAGGTCATGATTGTGCCACCAACGCCCCAAGCAAAGACGGGAGCTCCTTTCCATCTTTGCAGAGGGTCATGTTCACGACCATCTGTAGGAGTAACGTAGTTCAGGCCTTGTGAAAAACCCCTTGGTCGACTCATTGAAGATGGCACGGGCATCGTCGAGTATCCAATGTTTGGTCTTGGCGATGGCGGGACCTCGACCGATGCAGGACGTTGATAAGGGACTGATGAGGTCATTTCTAATCTAGGTCCAGCATAGGCCGACCCTGGAGATTGTGTCTGTGATCTTTGTGGCGGCAAAAATGCTTGTGGTGGGCCGGTAGATGGTTGTTGAGGTTGATAATTCGGTGTTGCCCTTTTCGGAGGAGAGCTCACGAGACGGGAAGAAAGTCTTTGGGGTGGAGGGGGGGTATGAGAAACGGGGCGAGTGGTATGAGAAACTGGATGAGTGGTATGTGGAGGTGGATGGGTAGAATGTGGAGGTCGTGAAGCGGGCTGTGGGGGCTGTTCTTGAAGCTCGCCATAATTACGGGCCGCAGACAACGACAGCTGCTCGTTTTCGTCGACTTCACGAGTAGGAGGGAGGTGACTTGTTCTAAGATTTGACTCGTAACCAGACGAGCTACCTCGGCGATCAAAGCTCGCCGTTTCTGAGTACGAGCCATGTGATCGCGGATCTTGACTTCTCTCAAAGTGTGCAAGAGGGCTCGATGTCCGTGGTTGATGGGGCAGGGGTGGTGCGGATTGCGGTAGTTGATTAGAAGGAGCAGAGTTGTAAGATGGCATACTTTGACGTGGGTTTGGGGGTGCAGGTGAGTATCGAGACTGAGATACAGGTGGCGGCGGTGCTGTATGGCTGTGAGTAAGCGGCGGCGGTGCTGGCGAATACCTTGTTGCTACCGCGGGGACGGCCACATTCCCAGATGGAAGAGAAGCATAGGGGCTGACTCTTTCAGGGGCAACCAAGCCTTGATGTGGAGACGGAGGCTGGACAGGGTGTTGTTGTACAGATGACGGAGCATATGGTGGCCGACCTACACTCGGTGAGGCGGGATGAGTAGGGCTTGGTGCGCCATAGGGTATTTGTGCGGGCGAAGAAAATGCGCTCGAATGTCTTGGGGCAAGTCGAGGTTTTGTTGACATTGGTAACTCTTCAAAAAAACCGCTTTGTGATTTTCTGACGGTTTTGGCTGGGGCCTCTTGAGACTGCGCTGACGGCGGCGTTGGAATTGACTGCATTTTACTCCGCGGAACACCGTGACTGCTTGTTGGGGGCGATAGACTTGACGTAGACCCTCTCGACGGTGGTGGTGGCTGAGTATACATACTGCTGCTTCTCGGAGGAGGAACACTTGCAGCAGGAGCATTGTTGTAATTTGCTTGCATGTGTTGAATGCTCACCCGCTTTCGAGGTTTCACAACGTCCATAGGCAAATCGTATGGCGAATGATAACCACCTTTAGACTTGTCCGCGAAGCTTTGGGCTTTGGAAATTTCGGGCCTCTGTTGCTGTTGCGTCGGGAAAGTAGACATTGAAGGGGACATATAAGACGAAGGTACCGCAGCTGTGGAAGCCGGTCTGGTGAGATCAGTCAACATTGGTCCAGAGGGAGCATAATTATTGCTTGGTGCAGGTGCAGCTGTATTCGCACCGGGAGGCAAATAACGACTTGTGCCACTGCTTCCAGCGCGACCACTGCTCCCCGGTCGATTCATCTGAGCTGGGCCACCAAGACTGTCAAACCCAACCACGTGACCATTTGGCCCTGCAACTGGCGTTGGAATGGGGGGGCTTTTTTGTTGTGAAAATGCGTCAGTGATATTCTGCTCGTCGTTATCCTCCAGGAATCCTTCATCATCGCTTCCAAAGAGAGCAGCTGGATCTAGAGCATTGTCCTCGGCGTCCTTCTCAGCAGGCTCATCGTCATCGGGGAGAAGTTCGTCCTCGTCATCGTCCAAAAATTCATCACCAGCCAATGCCGCTTTCCATTTTTCAGCAAGATCATCTGCAGTTTCCGTTCCTAAGCCCGCTGTAGCTTCAGGTTGGTTGTGCGTGGCTGCATCAGGCTCTAAAAGTACTTGGGACAACACAGTACTTATTGATGTGCCGATTCCTCCGCCCCTAGCCATGTCTAGTGAACTTTGAGCGCTTTCCATACTCTCCTCTTGGATGATATCATGCTGAGCACGAGCGTGGGGTAAAAAGTCCGTCGAGTCCATAGCTTGCATAGTTGATTTTCTTTCAAGATATGGCCCCGACAGAGGTTCTTCGTGAGTTTGATCATCTTTGCTAACTTGAGCAAAGAAATCATCCTCGGCTTCATCGTCTGTAAATGTTGGGTGATTTGAGCCAGATACACGCTCCACAGATTGGTGGTTCTCCGGGGATTGGACGAGGGGAAGGCCTTCCTCATATCGAGCCTCGGATTCCTGGTCCTCTTCTTGGCGAAGTTCTCCTCCATAAGATTGGCCGTAGTCAAATGGCCTTTCACTTTCCTCAACTTCGGCCTCCGGGAAAAGATCATCAGTTGCTTGTTTGGTGGCTGAAGTTCTAGCAAAGAAGTCGGCATCAACGTCGTCGCCCTCGTCTCCAAAAGGATCCTTTGATTCATGCTCGACCTGGTTCATGATATCCTCTGCTTGGCTGTGGGGTAGTGATTCATCAGGGTGAAAAGTTGGAGCTGCATGTGTGGGTGGCACTTCTGGGAATGAGTTCGTTCTGTCTGATTTGGCCATCCCCTTGAACGGATCTGTATCGGTTCGTTGAATATTCCATTTTGGATCCACCTCATCGTCCTCGCCCCAGCTCACTTCATCCGAGACAGTACGGGCAAATGACATGTGCTTAGTTCTGTGATTCGGGCCTTCTGATGGAAAATTGGCCTTGTCTCCTTCAACCATGTCGGGGTGTGATCCGCCATTATGTATTGGGTTCTCAACCAACTCAACTCCACCCGGACTGGCTAAGGATGTGGCGAGCGCATCTCGTAGATTGTTTAATTCGGGATGTTCTTTATTATCCTCGCCTGCTTCCGCAGCTGGTTGTTGGGCCTCCACAGCCCCATTTGCAGCATCTTGGGGTGGAGTCGGTGGAGATGGACCTGGCAGCTTCAACGGAGCTATGTTCCCACTCTCAATTCGAGATTCATCCGCTAGGCCTTCTCTACTTAACCTATAAGTGTCGAGACCTCTTATATTACTCGCGGCATCTGACCTTGTTATCGGCGCAGCTAAATCCGGCTTCGAGGGCTCGAGGATGGGCTCCGGAATTAATGGACCAGACTGAGGTGATTCGGGAGATCGTGTCGCAATTATGTCTGCTGAGGAATTCGGCATAAAAGCAGGGTGCCAGAATGCATTTGGAGATTCTGTTGACATTGCGTATGTAGGCGTTCTGAAGGAAAGAACTGAATACTTGAGTATGTCAGCAAAGTTGGTCCCCCCTTCCTTTCAACATAGCTGCCGTCATCCCAGGAATCGCCCCATCGGGACCACAATAGACTCACTGATACAAAGATACCCGCTAAACAACAAATTAAATCAGGTATTGAAGGTGGAGAACTGAAGCCATTTGCTCCAGAAGGCAGGTGTTCGTGGGCGAATCGACAGATCGTAGAGAGATTCTTGGATGGACATTCGCGAAGGGACGAGGCGAGGTTGAGGCCAGCTTTCTGTGAGGGCTGGCTGCAGAGGACAGGGGTGCAGAATGCGGCCGAGGTCTGTATTTTATATTGGTTAATTTTGCAGAGAATCGGGAGATTATTATTTTTTGAAACTTTGAAATTTAAATGCAAATTTGAACCATTTAATAATGAGATAGAGGTGGAAACCCTACATCTGAATTACGTTGCAATGCCCCCCTTTTCCAGCCAACATTTTCCGAACAAGCTCCTGACTACGGTGGCCTTGTGACCCTGGCCAGCCACTCTGAGACAAAGCGCAAGGCTGCAATCTTTCCACTTGGTCAAAGTCACAAAGAACCTCGAGGATTCCAACCTTCTTCGTTCTCCGCGACGTCCATCGCCGCATCAATGAGGCATGTCTTCGAGTTACCATCAACCCGACGCCCCAAACTCTCCCCTCGATGACTCCGATTCCGACCTTGACCTCGACATCCAGGAGCTCGATCCCATCACCACATCCGCAGCTACAGGCCTCTCGTCGTCCCGGAAAGAGCGCAAGCCACAAGAAGAGCGGAGGACAGCACATATCCCGTTGAGGAATCTTCGGATGGGCGGGCTGCGAGGTCTGGGAAAGCGAAGTAGAGGCTACGGAGACCTGGGGAGAGACCGAGACGGGAATAATGAGGATTTATACGGTCTTTTGAGTGATGAACCTGGAGTCGATGGCGCAAATCGATATTCTGCTGGAAGTTCCAATGGAGGGGAGGATGGCGCTCCATTACTGGCAGCGAATGGTCATCGCCGGAGACCGAGTACCGATACTTTCAACAAGTTAGGATCACATCTACGGCTACCAAGCTTCCTTTCTACTACTGGATCCCAAGCACCTCCGGATGATGCGGAAGAGCAGGCTGAGGAACACGATCCATCGTCATCAAGGACGGTGTCTGTTGGCGCCTCACAAACTGCGCGCTTCCCTCCAAATGCCGTTTCCAATGCGAAATATACCCCTGTCAGCTTTTTACCTGTAACATTGTATAACGAATTCTCTTTCTTCTTCAACATGTACTTTTTACTCGTTGCACTTTCACAAGCGATACCCCCATTACGGATAGGATACTTGTCGACTTACATCGTCCCACTGGTCGCCGTTTTGGCCATCACGTTAGGAAAGGAAGCATTTGATGACATTGGACGAAGGAGGAGGGATAATGAGGCCAACTCAGAGGGATACACGGTGTTATGCTTCGACGGGCCTGGGGTGGGGAACGCTGAAAGGTATCACGCAAAGAAGAAGTTAAAATTAAAACAAAATGCCAAATCGAAAAGGAAGACATTAGTCGAACCGGACCGGCTTTCGGATATCCAAGAAGAGGATGCTGCTGAGAATCGAGGGACCGGACTAGCACAATTCCCATCAACATCGGTCCGAGAGGTTATACGGAAGTCTCGGGACTTGAAAGTTGGGGATGTCTTGAAATTGGGAAAAGATCAAAGAGTTCCTGCAGATGTGGTCATTTTGAAAAGTTACACAAACGAGTCTGCGCCAATAGCGGAGGAGAACGAAGCTCCTATTAAGTCTCAGTCACTTCTTGTTGAGCCCATCTCGGATCCTCCAGTTGACAGCACCGCCGCTACCGTTGCTGAGGGTCATGAGTCAACATCAAAACTTGGCAATACACCGTCTGCAGATGCTGGAGGTGTCGGAGAGACATTCATTCGTACAGATCAACTTGATGGTGAGACCGATTGGAAGCTGCGATTGGGTTCGCCTCTCACACAATCCCTCGAACCTTCCGAATTTGTGCGGCTCCGTGTGGTTGCTGGGAAACCAGACAAGAAGGTCAATGAATTTGTTGGGACTGTAGACCTCCTGCCCGTAAATAGAGCAGGCTATGATCCATATCTACCAAGGCCACCACGGTTAAGTAATGAGGTTAATCCGGAGCAGCCTTCCAGCAGTACCAATTCTGCGCCCCTGACCATCGACAACACCGCCTGGTGCAATACAGTGCTTGCTTCGAATGCAACCACGCTAGCTGTTGTTGTATACACAGGTTCCCAAACACGCTCTGCCCTTTCCACATCACCATCCCGTTCGAAGACAGGACTGCTAGAATACGAAATAAACTCCCTCACAAAGATCCTCTGTGCTCTCACAGCCACATTATCCATTGTTCTCGTCGCATTAGAAGGATTTGAAAAAGTTGAGGGCAAGTGGTATGTCAAGATGACGCGGTTCTTGGTATTGTTCTCGACAATCGTTCCCATCAGTCTTCGAGTCAATCTGGACATGGGAAAGACCGTTTATTCTTGGTTTATACAACGAGATACTGGCATGCCAGGCGCGGTTGTGAGGACGAGCACAATTCCTGAAGAATTGGGACGAATCGAATATCTACTAAGCGATAAGACCGGTACCCTGACCCAGAATGAGATGGAAATGAAGAAGATTCACGTTGGAACTGTTTCGTATGCCAACGAAGCAATGGACGAAGTGGCTTCGTACATCAAGCAAGGCTTCTCCGTTCCTGTATCAACGGATGCAAGCCAATCGATGCTCATCACGCCATCATCCACCTTCGTTGCATCGACCACTATTACTGCTACAAGAACTCGTCGAGAAATAGGCTCACGTGTTCGCGATGTGGTCCTTGCCTTGGCTATTTGCCACAATGTTACTCCAACCGCTGAAGAAGATAATGGTCAAATGGTGACTTCTTATCAAGCTTCATCCCCAGATGAGATCGCAATTGTCAAATGGACCGAAGCAGTTAACTTACGTCTCACTCATCGGGATCGAAAAGGAATGACGCTTCACTCAGTAGATACTGGCCGTCCGGTTGTTCGTGTGCACATTCTCGAAGTCTTCCCCTTCACTTCCGATGGCAAGAGAATGGGTATCATCGTACAGTTCTTGGATGGCTCAGAGACAGCTGGCAGCGTTAATATCGAGGCTGGGGAGATCTGGTTCTACCAGAAAGGAGCGGATACGGTCATGGGTTCCATCGTTGCTGCTAATGACTGGCTCGATGAAGAAACTGCCAACATGGCTCGAGAGGGACTGCGAACCCTCGTCGTTGGTCGGAAACGAATGTCTGTTCAACAGTATCAAGAGTTCGCAGCCAGTTACAAAGAGGCAGCAGTGTCCATCAACGGCCGAGATGCCGGCATGGCTCGTGTCGTGTCACATTATCTGGAACGCGACCTTGAGCTACTTGGAGTTACCGGTGTAGAAGACAAGCTTCAGCGAGACGTGAAACCTTCTCTCGAACTACTGCGCAATGCTGGTATCAAGATCTGGATGTTGACAGGCGACAAGGTGGAGACTGCCCGCTGTGTTGCTGTTTCTGCCAAGCTTGTCGCAAGAGGCCAATACATCCACACCATCGCCAAGCTCAAGCGCAAAGACAATGCTCAAGACCACCTCGATTTCCTGCGGGGAAAGAAAGACTCTGCCTTGCTTATTGACGGAGAATCTTTGGCGCTACTTCTTACGCATTTCCGCACCGAGTTCATAGGATTGGCCGTACTTCTACCTGCAGTGATCGCTTGCCGCTGTTCTCCCACTCAAAAAGCGGATATCGCCATCCTCATCCGGGAGTTCACAAAAAAGCGCATCTGTTGTATCGGCGACGGTGGCAACGACGTAAGCATGATCCAAGCAGCAGACGTCGGCGTCGGGATCGTCGGAAAAGAAGGACGACAAGCATCTCTCGCCGCCGATTTCTCCATCACCCAATTCTGCCACCTTACAAAACTGCTAGTCTGGCATGGCAGAAATAGCTACAAGCGCTCAGCAAAACTCGCCCAGTTCGTCATCCACAGAGGCCTCATCATCTCCGTCTGCCAGACCATGTACAGCATAGCCATCAAATTCGAGCCCGACGGTCTGTACAAAGATTGGCTGATGGTCGGATACGCCACGGTATATACAATGGCGCCAGTTTTCTCCCTGGTCCTTGATAAAGACGTCGACGAAAATCTCGCCAACCTCTACCCAGAACTCTACAAAGAACTTACCTCCGGCTCTTCGCTCTCATACCGCACATTTTTCGTTTGGGTCTTCGTGTCCATCTACCAAGGAAGCATGATTCAAGGCCTTAGCCAAATCCTCACTGAAACCTCGGGCCCGAAAATGACGGCTGTGTCGTTCACCGTCCTAGTCTTGAACGAGCTGTGCATGGTTGCGTTTGAGATCACGACTTGGCATCCGGTTATGATTATCTGTCTACTTGGAACGCTGTTGGTGTACTTGGGAAGCATGCCGTTTTTGGGAGGGTACTTTGATTTAGCGTTTATCATTACTTGGTATGTCTCCCTCTCTCCCTTTCCTCTCGAGATCGGTGCTGATAATTGAGTAGGGGCTTCGTCTGGCGCGTTCTCGCCATTGGAGCCATTTCTCTGATTCCGCCGTATGCAGGAAAGTTGATCAGGCGTGCGGTGAAGCCGCCTAGTTATCGCAAGGTGCAGGCGATATGATTTCTACCATCACTCAGGTGGTTTGTATTCATGGCTCGGGCTCTGGGCGGTTCTCGGCATAGCGATTGGAGTTCTGATTTAGAGACGCTCGTGACGGAGTTGGATGCTAATTAAGTGCAATGAATTGAATTGACTGCTTGCTCTAGCTGGTGTGCGAGCCTTGAAGTGTTTGATCTGATTATGCAGTCGAACTGCCTTGACGCAAGTGTGAGAAGCTTCCTTGACCTACTATCCTTCCTTCCCTACTTCTCGATTCTCAACAGCAGAGCTTTGGTGTTCCCTTCTCTTTGCGCTCGTGTTCTTGCGCACCCTTTTATACTTTAATAAGACTGCAAGGCTTAAGCGTAGAATATCAGCTGAGGCATATTTCCTTCTCAGCCATCCACTTGAGTGGGCCCCTCGTTCTTATCTGCTTTCTCGCACCACCTTATACACAGCCTTCATGTCTTTCCGCCTTGCAATTGCGTCTCTCTCTTCTCACTGTATAAAAAAGATTTGGCGACTCCCTTCTCGCGATCACAAGAATCGTACTCGGTGGCCCGAGTCGATATTTTTATGGATATTGGAGGTTTGTCGTGTACGAAAAAGTGGGATTGCTGCAGGACTTTCGGTGGAGCCGACGGTTACTCCCTTATGCAAGGTGATTGCATCTTGGTGAAGTCACTTCCCCTTTTTGACGCTCCGAACGCCAGGCGAATGTGACCTCATAGGATCGTTGTCATATTCGATATCTTGAGTTTAGTTTGCTGATTATGGTTGCAGTGTCCAACATCCGAGAAACGAGTTGGACGATCGTGTCCTCGGCAGATCAAGAAAGACGTCTTAAATCACCCAACAGAGAACCTCTCGATACCAACGTCAGCCTGCTCTTTATAACCCATTCTGTTGGCGATTTCTAATCATTTACCCCTTCTCAATATGTACGATAATCTCAATACTCCACATCAGAGGGCAATGGGATAACTGCCAGCTCCCAGTACCAGCTCGCAGCCTCTGGCGACATCGCAATACCTCCAAAATATCTAGCACTTTACACCACAAACCCAAATCATGCCAAAGCAACCCTCCATACATTTTTCAAACACAACCTTCTTTCTCGGGTCACAACATGAAAAACAGCTCGCAGAATCTGCCACCACGTCCAAATATCTCCGGCACGCTCGACGTTTTACGCCACAGAGCTCTAGTATATCGGCCGGCTCACCATACATTTCCTATTCACAACCACGATCTTCTTATTCTCCGAGTCAGAATATGCAAAGCAGCGCATGGCAGTTGCCACGAACTCCGCAAACCTTCTCCTCAACACCGAATCAAATCATAAAATCAGAACCTCAACTTAGCTAGCAGAGCCCAAGCAACTATCTGCCCTCCCAAATTGGCTCACAGCATTTAAAACCAACTCCATATACTTCCATCTCAACCCCGACTCAAATGATAAAATCAGAAGCCCAGGATGGCCAGCAAAGCCGAAGCAGCTCTCCACCGTCCCAAAGGGCTCTTCCAGCGCCAGCTTCAATATCAAACAACCGGATCACCCAGCTAAAGTGCGAGCCCTGATGACTGGGAACCGACTCAGCAACAAGTGCAAGACCGAGGTAACTTAGAGGGGTGTCGATAGAGCAACAGACTCTCGCCATCATCTCCTCAATCCTGGCGTTGAGCCTTCGCCACACTCTGCTTGAGTTTCATGCGCAACTTGGGACAATTGAAGCGCAAGCTTCGAGCAGAAATGGCAATTATCTTGCATACTCCTGGATACTGCCATGGTTGCGCCTTAGAAGATCACTAGAAACGACAGTCCCTTTTGTCTTGAATAATACTTGAGTTTGAATTTGAAAATGTGATGTTGAGGTTGCAAGTCGGCAACAAGTGAATTCTGGGGACGACCTCGCTTAGCATTTCATTTCCCCTATTGTCCCTCCTCCCTTGCCACAACAATACCTTCAGACAATAGCAGAACACAACAATTACCGTCTCAATTGAAAACATCAAGCGAATCCACTGATTTCGATTTGGGTTTGATCTGTTTGATCCCAAACTAAACTATCAATTGTTCCTCCAGACCATCAATACCATCCGAATCTATTGTCTTCCCATCCCATTGTGCAATCCAAATCCTCACCAAATACATAAACCTCTTTCCTTTCCATCCTTCCGACCTTTCTTTCTTTTCTCCTTAGCAGTCATCAAGTTCTTACGTCTCATCACAACTCTCTCATCCAAACACACTCTCTCTCACCAACAACCTTCTCCAATTCTCACAAACACCAAACATCAACAACCACCACCACCATGCCCTCAACCCGTGCCCACCTCTCCTCTCCTCTCAAACCTCCCTTCTCACCACCAACCCGCATCCGTCCCCGCCCAACGCCCCGACCGCCCAAATACAGTCCCTGGGTGTCCGCCGCTGTGGTCCGCGATCTGGAGGATGACGTGCTGGATATTGGGGAGAAGGCCACGCCGGTCGAATGTATTTCAAGTCATGTAGAGAGGAGGATGACGTGCTGGATATTGGGGAGAAGGCCACGCCGGTCGAATGTATTTCAAGTCATGTAGAGAGGAGGATGAAAGGACAGGTGGTGTTCTTGACGAGGGAGGAGGATGGGGTTAGGAGAGCTAAGGTACGTTCTCATCCCATCTGACATTTTGATAGAGCTGATGATTGGATAGGAACGAGCGAAGAAGCTGAAGAAGGAGAGGACGGGAGGGAAGAGTCGGGCGGCACGGAAGGCGGCGTGGAAGAGGCGTGGGGATGCGGGACGGAGGAGGAGAGCGGATGGAAAGTTTGAGTAGGGGAGAAGGATGGAATGAAATGAAATGAATTAATTCTCGTTTGATGGCCACTTGGTCTTTGCCTTCTCTTCTGACAAAACCGTGAGACTTCATTGAGACTTCATTGAAGAAGATATTTGGAAGCACACCTTTAAGCCACCTCTTTGAAGCCGCAGCATTAAGCGACCTCTTTCGTGCCTTGCCTCTGAATGTTTCACTGTCAGAGCGGAAGCCGACGAGTCGTCCAGAATGTGCAAGGAAAAGCTCGCCGTAAACAAAAGCGGTCCGGATAAAGACCCCTTCCTCGCTTTTGCTTCCATCATTCAAACGAAGACCGTAGCAATAAACTCCAGAAAGACGGTAGCCACTTGACTCGGTACTTAACAAAACGAAGTAGCAAATAATTTGATGCTGATTCAAGAAGTTGCATTTCGTGTGGCGTACTTCGTGTTGTGTCAACAGCAAATGTTTGTGTGGAGTTTGTCACTGATTTGTAATTCAGCTGTACCCTGTCGGCTCTATATTGTGATAAACTCCGAAAGAAAGCTAACCCGTCGCACAGCTGAACTAATACTGACCCACAATCTCAAGCGTCAACGAGAAGGAAAAAATCCGATTGGCTGATTGATGTGGAGTTAGGACATCAGATCATACCTATTTCACCGATTTGATGATGCTACAAAGCTCGTTCCTTCTTTCGAATTAGAAGATAATGGTTAGACTTGTTCAGAAAGCTGAAATAAATTTCCTCACCAGCAGAAGATCGTGAGAACTTCGCTTCTTCAGCAGCTGCAACCATGGCCGCTCTAAAGTCCACAATCGTCCTCATCACAGGAGCCAACAAAGGAGTCGGCTTCGAGATTGCCAAGAAACTCGCAAAAGATCAACCCTCCTATCATATTCTTCTGGGCAGCCGCGATCCCGAGCGGGGCACTGCCTCTGCCGCAAAACTCCAAGCAGAGAATCTCTCCGTGGAAGCCATTCCCATCGATGTCACAAGCGACGCATCGATCAGCGCGGCGGCTTCGATCATATCTTCGAAATTCGGCCGCTTGGATGTCCTGATAAACAACGCGGGAATCGCTATTGATAATAAGCATGAACCGGGAGAGGATTCTCTGAGGGATATGATGTTCGAGTCCTATAACGTCAATGTTTTTGGCGCTATGCAGACATTCGAGACGTTCGCTCCTCTGTTGGAGAAGAGTGAGAATCCAAGAGTGGTGTTTATCTCCAGTAATTTGGGCTCGTTCGGGAAGCAGGTGAATATGGGCAGTTATCCCGTGTATCGAAGCACCAAATCGGCGCTTAATATGCTGGTGATGAGTTTTGCGCATCTGTACAGGGAGAAGGGGTGGAAAATAAATGCGTGCTGTCCCGGGTATGTGGCGACGGATTTGAATAACTTTCACGCCGTTGGGAAAGTGGAGAGCGGTGCTATTAATGCTGTTAGGTTGGCCACATTGAGGAAGGATGGCGAGACGGGTACGTACTCTAATAAAGAGGGTCCTATTCCTTGGTGATAGCCCTTGTGGCTTGTCGCTGTTGCCATTATCCTCTCACGAAAGGCGAGCGGTATTAATTTTGTGCTCGGATGCACTTCAGAGCTTCCAAATTATCCAATCACGAAGTGCCATCTTTCCAATTACTCCTGCAACTTTGCCCTGGCCCTCTCTCCCATCTTCCCATCTCTTTGGGCCTGCGAAGTGATTGACGAATCCTTCTGGTCCAGAGATAAATAGAAGTTTTGTCCCTTCAAAATTGCTCCTCCTCGACGTGTTTGTGAGTTGTGATATCTTCTTCTGATTCAAAAAAGTTTTCTCCTCGTCCACGAAGTAGTCAACGGTGAGCTGGCCAGGATGCTTTTTCTGGAGAACCTCTAATTCTTGAACAATAAGTCCAGCCTGTTTCCGATCCATGTTGTCCAGTTGTCCTCCACCTTCACAGTCGTCTCTCCAGCGGTTTGACCACACAATTCTGACCCTTGCTTCCGCATTCCTTCTTTCGAGCGTAGTGTAGGCAGCTTGCAATGCAGGCGCGATTCCCGTTCCCCCAGCTAAAAACACAACCTCTGCAACGTTCTCTGGTATATCAAATCCTGGGTGCGGACCTCGTAACTCCATTTGCGAATTGAGCCCCATACTGTGCAGATACCCCGAGACTTCCCCTTTATGCTCCTTACGAATCAAGAACCTCAATTCGCTATAATCAACCGGCTTGATTGGAGGAAGCGGCGTATACGATCTTGATATTTGAAGTTCGGGCTGTTTCACTTCAACAGACCAAGTTCCTTTATCCCACATATGCTTATACAGATCTTCTGTACCATTGGCAAATCGTCGTACCGTGAGGATAACGCTCGTTGGGGAAACGACTTCCCTCTTCACGACTGTGAAGGGACTGAAGCGCGGCGGATCGAATGGTTTCTCGTCGTCCGTATGGGGTGGGGATAACACAAGCGAAGTTCCTATACCAATTAAAAATAAAATCGCTCCTACTTCTAATACTACATGCCAAGGTTTTGATGGTTCAAGAGCCAGGCGTTGAGATCGCGTCTTCTCAATGAGCTCTTCAACTGCTTCTTTGCGGTCTCGCAACCGTTCCACAATAGAGTGCTGATCTTCGCCGGGCATTCGGTTCAATAATGCCTTTTCCTCGCTGGTGAAATCAGCCTTCGGGTTCGGGAAGCTCTGGGGCTGGGTCGAGGAGACCTGCCGGTAGGGCAGCTTCAATGAAGGTCCCCCAAGATGTCGGACAGGCTTCCTGAATAGCCTCGAGAGCAATTGCCCCACAGGGAAGCGGGAGGTCATCGTTGTCTGGCGCTGAATCGTTGATGTGTTGACGTTGGAGAAGTGAAGAAACACGTTCTGCAATAATTTAAGGGTGTAAATAGCAAGGTGCGTGGTTTTAGCTGAGCCCATTTTAGAACAGCGATAAACGCACCCCTGCTCTTCCTGCGTCCTTTCTCCACGAGAAATTTCCAATGGCCAGCGACTTCAAATCAAATCCCGGCACACCGAGTATTAATACATCTCTGCCCAGAATCTGTCTCGTCTGCAATCCTTGTCAATTCGCTTGAAGCAAGCACGCAGACTGATACTCAATTAATGTCAATCATTTAGCTGGTACAATATTCGAGTTTCAACACTCAAGACCCCTCTTAGCTTGGATTAGTCTTACAATATGTCATTTTAGCCATAAAACTGCTATTTCTTTGCTCGAGGATAAGTACCAAGCTTCAAGGACCCCGCTGTGGGGTAGTTTGAGACGAAGACTGCTTGCCCTCCAAATGATCCTCAATGTTTTGTACATTCAAAGTCTATGTTTTCAAGTCTCTCGAAGGTTTTAGGATATTAAACGCCTATTCTCACCAGGTTTAGTTAAATGCCCCACTTTCACTGAGGGCAATGAAAACTAGTGCTGGTCTTTTTGTTCACGGCGACTCGGTGAGGATGGTGGGAGGTCCACTTAGGACCCAGGCTGTGACGAGCTGATAGGACACTCCCGTCAGCGATTCCCGATGATACCCGCTGGCCTCAATAACATTTATGTATTCAAATAAGGATTTTTCGGCTTAACTTTCATCCAGTAAGTAGATTCTTTGTACCATGACAGTACTCAGACTAACACAAACAGTACTGGTGTATCGGTAACATTTCCGCCTCTCATCACATTGATAGATTTCGCGGTAGCGCAGGGTTCGACTCCCTGGTATGGAAATATTAATGCAGTCTTCCGTTATATTTTGCCATTTTTATTCGTGATTGTATCTCTTCTTGTGGCTCTGTAAGCAGGGGTTGTCTTCCATTTTTTTAATAAAAAAAGGTGCAGTTTGTTAGGCGAAACCTCTGAGCCCGATCTCAAACTGGAGGAGGAGGCAGCATTATTTTTTTCTATGTCCTTAGCCAAACCTGGCCATTTAGCTCTAAATCTGCATGGAGAAGACTTTCATGTATTAGATCTTCTAAGACATGTAGAGGTGCTAGATTTCGGATTTACCATACGTCGGAGGAAGATTTAGAATTGTAGCCTTTGAAATATTCAACCCTGGCCAGGAACATGGAAATGAGCTCCGCTTTTGCTGTCCATTATGAGATCGTATCATTGGCACGTAAAATTGTTCTTGTGGATAGGAGTTTAACAAGGAACCTAGTAAGGTCTCGTACGGATAGATCAGGGGCTTTTGTTATTTTTTATTTATTTTATATTTTGAAAGTATTCTTGAAGGAAGGAATGCTTCAGAAGGACTTGATATCAGGGGTGGCGAGCAATCCTTATCCGCTCCCTATCATTAGCGAGCTCTTGAGGCTGGCCGCGTTGACGCAACACCAACTTCATCACATCTCCAACGAGTAAATACACCTCGCCACGAAAGCCTCTCATGGCTCCCTCGGACGCACAGTTCTGACCGCCCAGCCCATTATGATGTTACAATCCAACTAACCTCCCTCAACCGCACTCCACCTCCCGGCCGCGACCATGGCTTCACTTTGGACGGCCAAAACCCCAGCAGAGCCCTCCATCCCAGCGAGAGACAATGCCGATGTGGCAGATACTGGCCTCGCAGATGTTGGTCTTCCACCACTTCAGCCGCCTACCAGCGTGCCCATGGGGCGTCCTCAACTTCAGCGAAACCAGCCTCAACCGCCCCCACCACATCAGCCTCCTCCCCCTCCAGCTCCCCAGCAACTCGGGAACCCCAATGACTCCCTGTCGTTAATGCAGCTGAAGAAGATCGTCACCGACTTCCCGAAAATTGATCCCACGTCATACGCCTTCACATATGCGGACACGGCGTCTTTTGAAGAAGAGGTGGACGAGTGGTTCTCGTACAATGATGCGGAATACCGGCGCCTGAATCGAGCGAAAGATACATTTGAGAGGCGGTGGAAGAAATTTGCGGGGACGGCATGGCTGGACGCTGAGCAGGAGCAGAGGGAGAAGTTTGTGGAGAGGGAGGTTAAGGGTCTCCATGCTACGGATCTGCGACGGCGGTGCAAGAGCCTGCAGACTATTCTACATATCATTTTGGGTGTGTGGGATGAGACAGCTGGAACAAAGCCTGCGGCAGTAGAGACTGAAGCGTCGAAGTCGAAAGATAAGGAGAATGAGGCGGAAGCGCCGAAACCTAAGACGAAGGCCACGCCGTTCCAGCTGGAGCACATGAAGCTTGGAATTGCATTTTTTGGCAGGGCAGATGGTATAGATGTGCTTTTTAATGTCATGGAAAATGCTTTTAAAAGGCTATGGTAAGTTGGGGTTACTTACCGGCGAATTATGCTCACATTTCAAGGGATGATGAATTTCGTGAGACGCAATTGCTGGAGGAAGACATTCCTTTCATTCAGGACGAATTGGACAACGTCACCACTATCATTTATCTAACTATTGAGGGCATCCGTAACGATCCTGTTACTCTGGAGTCCGCACGAACGAACATTCGTTAGTTGCTCCACATGGTTCCTCTATTCAGAACTGACCTTCTCAGTGAAACTTGCTCCTAGCCTCGTAGATTATTTTGTAACAATTACAGCAAGACTTAGATGGGATGAAGCAAACGAGCTTCCACAGACAAGAGTCCGTCTCAAAATCCTACTATGAATGTTTACTGACCACGGTAGATCTTCCTCCTCTTTTGGAAGTCGCTCTTGCTCGCCTTTGGAGGAAGATCTGAGGTCGACGAAGTGAAGACAGCGACCAGCGAGTTGAGACATCTAGACAGCGATGGTGTCAAGTTAATAACTGCTTCGCCCCTCGACTACCACATTTTCCGCCAGGAAATTACCTCAAAATACCCTGCATACATCCCTCCCCCGCCTCTTATACCTCTCGAGCCCGACAATAATTCGATTCTCCCGCCCTTACCCAATCGGCCAAGCAGATCAGGTGCTAATGGCATACTACCACCTCCAATGAATGTCAACAGTAGCGGGGCATCGATTCTCCACCAGCCAGTGCATATTGCGACACCTGCACCATCTCCACCACCATCTCCACCCGTGGGTGGCAAGGCTGGCAAAAAACAGAATTACCAAACAAACCAGAACTTCCCATTCATGTACCCTCCATTGGATAGCACAAGCAATAGTGCTGGTGGTAAAGGGGCGGCAGGTTTGCAGGAGCTTCTCGTCGGTCGCAAATGGGAGGGAAGCGACATTCCAAGATCAATACTCGAAGCCGGAGATCTGTTCGCAAAACGAATGCGAATGACGAGAGCCATGCGTCAACTATGGGATGAACGAGAAAGGTTTCTGAAATTCGAACGAGGTTGGGATGGCGAGGATGATGATGTTGATGAGCTTGATTTAGACACTATTCTGTCAAAGAAGCTCTCATTATACGAAACGAAACATGCAAAAGCAGAAGTTGATTATGGACCAAACCCGGATGTTAGCGACAAAATCAAGCAGAAACTTGATCTTGTAGAGCAATTCTATGTAAGTTGTCGTCATAACACGAAAGTCTGATGTTGATAGTTTGCAGCAAGATTCAATACCCCATTTGCAGTCGTTGGTCATTGTGCTACTGAAAGCAGTTTTGGCCAATGTAACAGCTCTGATTACACTACCGATGGGACAATCTCAGGGGCTTGCCCCTGCTTTCAGGTCAGAGCTAAATCTACGAAACGGTGTGCCAGCCCAGGGTCGGGCACAAGATCCAGCCCTTGTTCCTCTGCCGACACATTCTGTCGACCCGGTTGACCTCCCTATCGATGAGATTGAAGCAATGAGGTCGCGAGAGATTACCGCGAAAGCGGTGTCCGGCATCCTTCTTATTCTCTTAAAGTGGTTCAAAGTCTCACGTGAGTGTACTAATTCATCTTCATCGGAAGTAGCTAATAGCAGAAAGACATATTGAAGTTTGAGTATTTGACACAACTTTTGCTGGATTCGAACTATCTTCCGCTTGTGTTGAAGCTCTTTGCTCATCAGGATATTGACAAAGTCATCGATAGCAGAACAGATCGCGATGACATGAGGTTAGTCCTACCTTTCCCTGTGCCCACCCAATACTCACACTGGTAGCTTCTTCGCGTTCTGCAATGTGAACAGCAAGAACACACCCACCGAGCCCGATCTCGCCGACTTGGAACCAGAAGATGAGAGCGAAGACGAAGCTGCACCTCCGCCCATCAAAATGCGCCGAGAACTATCCGTCGCCGACGCCGAAGACAAACTGCCCGCACTAGCTTTCCAGGAAGGTCAGCACGCAGCCAAACGTGACCGCCCCGAAGTCGACGAGCTGGGTTACCCCACCACCGAGCTACCGTCCGAACCCATCACCGAATTCTCATGGCGGAACTTCTTCTCATGCATCAATTTCCTCCGCATCATGCAGAAAATCTGCAAGAACAAAGCTCACCGCAACCTACTCCTTGTGCAATACAAATCCTCCAACATCCTCAAGAAATCCCTCAAGGTACCACAACATGAGCTCCGCCTCTACACCCTCAAACTCTTCAAAAACCAAGTCCCATACTGCGGTCGCAAATGGCGGCAAGGAAACATGCGTGTCATCACAGCCGTGTATCTGCACTGCCGGCCCGAACTGCGCGACGACTGGCTTGCGGGCAGCGACGTCGATGCGGAGGTCGAGGAAGCGCTGCCACTTGAGCAGGCGCTGAGAGCGCTGACGCATTGGCATAATATTAAACGGTATCCGGACCAGATGGGCGCGGATACGAAGTTGTTGGAGGATGAGCATGATTTTTTTGTTAGGGAGTTGGAGAAGATGGAGTGGATTGAGGAGGGGATGGGGGAGGGGGAGAGTCAGGCTGATAGTGGGTGGGATGGGGTGGGGAATGGGTGGTAGTGAGGTTGCGAGCCTCTCCCATAAACTTCCGCGACATGTCTGGCATCGGTGGGGGGTAGGCAAGGGAAGGGAGCGCATGAAGGTAAATGAATGCGTAATCGATGACCACTAGACGGAAATATTATGAGACGTTAGTCTTGAATGACAATGCGTTCGAGTGTCTCTGTTGCACATCGGCAGTATTTCTCCGAGAGAGCGCCCACGGGCAAACGGAAACTTTTTTTACAAGCTTCTGGGGTGTTGTTTTATGTTATGTGCTTTTTGTGTTTGGCGAGAGACGCTTGGTTGTGCTTGAGCGGGTTAAGGTTTGGGTTTCAGGGACAAATGGGAGGTGATTGACGTTTGAGATGCGTACCGGGGTTTTGTTCTGCCGGTTCTTGGGTGACCTAGTTTTGAAGCCTTTTGGACATGTTGGGTTTGGCAATGGCATCAATGTTGGCAAGGCTGATGATTGTTGTAAGACCTTGGAAGCTTGTCAGGCTGAAAACCTCTTGAGTTTGGATTCTCCCTATTTAATTTACCTTCTTGCATCCTTACCTTCACTGCTTGAGTTGGCTCTCCTAGTTCTATTCATGCATACTCCATTTATTCTTGAGCATTTGATGTGCAGTTAAAAGTCCGGGAGACGATTTTGAGATACTTCCTCGCAAGTAGCTGTGGAGGTGAAACCTTCCAGCTCGAAATGGTCAGGTTACAAGTACACGTAACTATGATTCTCCTAGAGTTGTTGCCTCTAATCATTAAAAGATACGTACAGATGAAGCTCGTTGCACTGCGAGACCCCTTGGTTATGTCAACCTGAAGTAGGTGTGTTCACGTGACTTCATTATATTGCCTCGATTTTGGGACATGATTGCTGCTGCCAACCTAGACATCACCGTTGTCTTCTCGCAAGGTACGAGTACGTCCGATCAGACTTCCCCCTAATGTCTTGCCATGTCATCGTCTTTGGGGAAAATTTCATGCACGTCGCCTCTGCATCGAATTAAAAGGCGTGGAAGCCTGGAGCGTTGCGTTTGTCATCGACGTCTCGACATCTGACTTCTGTGGCTCCCAACACGACGAGAAGAATGGTTGAGACAGGCTCGGTCATTCTAGCTTACGTTTTGACTGCGATACTCCGGTCCGCACTCCACTCTTGAGATGGAAGCTGCTCAAGTCTTCATTGAAGCGCATTCGTGACAAGCAAGGCTCCCAGCCTAATGAGCGAGCTTCAGAGAACACTGAAAGGTCGAGGAAGCTTGGCTAATTTATTCGCGCACTCTGTCCATACATGGCTCGTCGACGGAAGGGCAACGGAAGAAAGAGAGTTCGTGAATCTCGTTTGTGTGGTGCGACCCAGAAAAGTCTACCTTGCCATATTTGCAGGTTGATACGTAATGCCTTCAATGCATCAGGGAAATCACACGAGATCGTAGGACTGGACATAGTTGCAGATGTCTTTTCAGTCGACTGTTTTGTACATTCTCCGTTATTTCTCACACTCTTGCCCTGACTTGTCGCATTCTAAATTCAAAAAAGATTATCGGCAGGTGGAAATTTCGAATTACGGTAGTCACGGGCCCAAAATATAAGTCGGGTATATCAGTTCTCAGCCCTTGTTGCTGTCGAACAAAAATTAAAGTTCTGCGTATAGAGGCCGTGGGAGAATGGTCGATCCAGAATGGATAGACATTCAAGTTGTCCGAGACTGGATATTCACATTTGACCACCAGCATGATCAGAGCTGTCGATGCGCCTACGGCACCACAAGAATCACCCAGCATCGTCCAAATCTGCCCATTGATACTTGGGGCAAATGCCTGACGAAAGCTGCATCCGAGGAGTCTTACATGGCCCTTAGCCATGGATGGGGCAGTACACCAAATCTGACCACAATTCAAGCTAATGTGGAACTCTTTCAGCAGCCTGGCAACCTGGACCGCGAAGAAATTGCCTGGCAAATTCCGACTTGTATTCGAGATGCGATCGCCTTTACGGAACTCTTGAACGAACGCAACCTCTGGGTAGACTCTCTGTATTGTACTGTACAAGACGAGGAGAAAATCTCCCCCATCGCGAAATTATAAGGACGGCTTCGATATATGCAAACGCGGTGCTCACAATTGTTGCTGCTAATGAGAAGACGCCAATTACGGCCTGCGAGGCATTAAAGTGGTATTATTTCCAAGAAGGCACTCTCAACGCACGGCCAAACTTTCAAATGGTGCTCGTGTTGTTGAGGATTGCCTCCTAAACCCAAATACAGCCACGTGGCCCGAGAGAGGTTGGACGTTCCAAGAGGCTTTATTCTCGCCAAGGAAGCTCATTTGTTTGTGAGGACTCCATAATCTGGAAGTGCCCCTGTGGCCTGTGATGTTACGTATGAAGATGTTGCAGAACCCCGTCGGAAGGATATGCAGAAGAGTAGTTCCATGGATACTGCCCTCAAACCCCATGTATCTAAGCTGTTCATGCACTCTTGGCCCGAGCTACACGGTTATCGTCAGCTTGTCTGCGATTTCAGTTGCAAGGATCTCACATACCCGAAAGACGTTGTCGATTCTTTCTCAGGTGTAACCACACTGCTCAGTGATGTGTTTTATGGTGGCTTCTTGTATGGATTGCCAGAAATTTTCTTTGGCGTCGCTCTTCTCTGGGTAATCTCTGGTCCTGCGACACGACGGAATCCCAAACGTCAAAATTGCTCGAAATCAAGTTTGCCGAGCTGGTCATGGATGGGTTGGCAAGGCTCAATCGGCCTGCGAGACTGGTTCAGTGGGGGAGATTATTTGAACATAAGAAACATTCACCTCCGTACGAACGGTTTCACACCCAGTGGTATGTCCACGACAAAGCAAGCGATTTTAAGAGGGAGGTTAGCAGTTTTTTTGGCGAAGATACAGAGACCACTGTTATTTGGACAACGGGTCTGATATCCTTGTTGGCTGGGCACGATATCACTACGATCGGACTGCGACGACTCAAAGCCTCCTCGTGGTGCGGTCTGGTAACCTGTAGTAGTCGGTCCACCGACTATTTGCTCCTCTGGAGTACAGGGCTAGTATTGAGTCCCGAACTGGCGATACTAATCGAATCTCCTCCTTGACCGCCAGCACCACTCCGACTCAAATCAACTCCTCCTCTTGACTCGAGACAAAGTGTCTCTTCTATTATTCGATATCGACATACAAGATTCGCCCGCCGGTCTCTACTCGACTAATGTTTGATAAGAAATTAGTACCTCATTCCGCCTGTTTAGCGAAGGGCGTCTGACCATTAGGCATTAGCGCGTTAATAGCGCATACCTTTAGCTAGGGTTATAGAGATATTAGGGATATGGCCTAACGGGCATTTCATACTTGGGTTTATTTGTATTATTAAGAGGCTTAGGTTATAGAGGAATCTTGAGGCTTAGAAGTTATATAAAGCGTATTTGCGGACGAAAGGAGACTTTAGTAAAATGGTTTCTGTCTCTCTTTCTTTAAGCGTTAGAGTTTACTGCCTGGGTCTGTCTCTAAACGTTAAATTACTCTTCTTGGAGGAGCAATAGCCGTGTTGAGATAGAGAAGGAGAGTTTTCGGGCTTCCTCCCGAGGCGGATGGCTTGGAGATCCAAGAGGTAGTCTTGCTAGCCTATTCTGGGGCTGTGAACAAGGCTTTCTTGGCAGAGACTGTTCCTTTCGCGTATGTCTCCCCAGGTTAAATAATGATAATCAACCTTAAGCTCGATATAATTACGATCCCTTTTTGGCGAGTAATATGATGATAACCACTTTCCAGAATACCGTAGTCTGAATACTTCTTCAAACACAATTTAGACACGAACGCAGGATTTTGGTACCCAATTACCATTCCGCGATCGACAACAGTGTTAGACTTCTGGTTCATCTAGCGTTCATCTCATGCCGCATATCAAGGTATTGGCTAGATACGGCCGAGCGGGCATACTGTCAAGGATCGGATTTTTGTGTGTCTCTTCGAGATGGCGCTGGTTTATGGGCAGGGATACTGAATGTCCATTACCGCCACAAACCTCGAGTACTTGTGAACTCATTGCAATCTCTAGGGGCTATGCAAAGGAAATGGAATATTGGGACAAGATACCACTACCACCAAGAGGGTATCACTGGAGAGAGGAATCCAAAGGAGTACGATATGAATTCTATAACGTTCTTTGGATTGAGTGGGAGGATGGTATCGCGTACAGGAAAGGTATTGGTCATGTTGAAAAGTACATGTAGGAAGGACAGCCCCTTGAGTGGATTGATGTCTTTTTGGGTTGAGGTAGCGGTTCATGAATGTCCCATCACACAAGTTCGACGCCAGGATCGATTTTGACAGTACATGGTCCCATCTCAGCCCGCAACATTTGCTTCGTGGCATAAACAGGCTTTCACAAAATCCCCTGTAATATTACCTTTTTCTTCCTTCACTTCTTCTGTTCGTCCTCGGCCTTCAGTTTCGATAAATCAGCCACATCAGCGTGTAAACCCTTCTTCCCTTCATTCACCAACTTCACAGCCCAAGGAATCCCATCATCATGCCAAAACTGAATAGTCGGCATAAACCCCTCCATCTCCAAACACTCCTTATCCAATGTGCCAACGGCAACATCAAAGAAAGGCCCCAACGCCTGTTGCAAAGGCCCCAGCGGCCCTGTCTTAAAGAGTGTCACATGTGTCCCGCACTTCCCGCAAAACGTCCTATTCGAGTGCTCCGAGCTCTTAAAATGCGTGACATACGTGCGCTCAGCCAGAGTCTTGTCCTCGTGCAGATACGCCGTGCTGTCGGCTCTGATAGCCTCTTTCTCGTCACCTGACTCGCGAGGCTGGACAGTAAACTCGACCCATTCTCGGGGACAGAGAAACCAGGAATGTACAATTGCGCCCGGGACGCGACGGCAGGAGTTGCAGTGGTCGAGCGTTATGATGGGCAATCGTTCATTAACTTCGTTGGGCGGGACGAGGAGGCGGTCAGCTGTCATGCTGGCCTTTGGGAGAAGTTTTCGTTGAGAGAGCTCGGGGATGGAAATCGTGTAGCGGATCGCGGTGCAGAAGCAGCCTCCGTGGAGCTGGAAGGGGGTTTTGGGGAGTGCGGCTGCCATTTCCATTCCCAGGATTTCTGATTGAGGTTTCGTGGAAGAGGGAAGTTGTGGAGTGGCTGTTGTCGTGAAAATGTGGGTTATAATTCCGGGAAAAAGTAGAACGATCCCTCCGCCCCTCCCGGTGTCGATTAGGGGTGTCGATGACCAGGTAGCCAGGCACGCGCCTCCGGTTAGTCGTGATACACCGAAATCCGGGCCGAAAATCAAAGTTTTTATATTAACTTCTATAGCAGTGACAATCAAGTTTTTATAATTTTATCGAGGGCAATCCTATGGACTGGGCATTAAATGATGTTATTTTTTAAGGGAACCTAAGTGTGCTGGCTGTTAAAAGAAAGTAATGGGGGGTTATATTTTATAACCTAAAGGTGAGCTTAAGAAAGCCCAGAAATTTAGCGAATAAGTCCCTAAAACCAGATATAAGAGCCTTATAAGCCCATAACTTATAGGGCCTTATAGGGCTTAAAAACGAGAACTTAATTAATTAGTATATAAACTCTCTTAAATTAAAATACTATTTTAAGGAAACCTTTATTATAAATTAGGAAGCACGTGATTATAATACAAGGGTTATAATATACTAACTTATACTTATATTAAAAAATCTAACTTAATCTTTTTTAAAGAGCTTAAATAGCCAATTGAAAGTCGTTAACACCCCTGCCCCAATCGACACCCCTAACCGACACCGGGGGGTTCGTTTTACTTTTTCCCATTATTCCTCCGTGATTACTATGAGTCAGATCCTCGCCCTGCTCTCAAAACTCTCCAATCAAGATCTTGTGCTACGGCAACCCGGCAACTTTGTGCCGAGCAGGGTACCTAAAGCTAAGGGTGGCAGAAGTTTGACGTTCCTTGTGGCAATTGAGAAGTTGTGGCGTTTTCGCTTTCCCTGCTCTGGCGAGGACTTTCTGTGTCCTCAGTTTGATAAGAGAATCGGTACCCGACAAAGACTTTGACCTTTGACTAAAGTTATAAATCTGATTCAAACAAAACCTTTCAGTCCCTTCATCTCAAGTGAAGATAACTTCAAGTGGAGCTTAATGTTCGGCACACCAAATCTTTGTCGGACTCTGAAAGCCGAACGTGATTATTTCAGCGGACAGATGATTTCTAGTATGTTTTGAGTGGGACCGACTATTGTTATACATACGGATATCTTTGAGTTTCCAGCGTTTCAATAAGTGGATGTAGTCAAGAAGCAGTTTTATCCGAGGCAACTAAACCCCTGGTTATTACTCTCGTTTTCTCTGAGATTAAGGGCTCGTTCGAAACGGATCCAACGTTTTGATTACTAAGTAATGCTAACTGTGGGTAGTCTCCGTCTTGTTTGTAATCCAACTTATGCCTTCGGTATACCCGATCCTCAACGAAGTACGGCTAGAATTTCAGCAGATTGCGCACTAGATTAAGGCCAATATTTACATTCCTCTGATCTTTGATCAGAGTTTTGTGCTGTTCCAGTTGCATTGAGGGAGGATGTCATGATCCCAATGGATATGGCGGAAGACTAGAGAGAGGCCGTTTATGTGCGAGATTTCCGCTGGAGTTTCCATCTAATCACTTTTCAACTCTCCTTCCTTCCTTGGAAAATTAAACATTTTTCTTTTCTGCCTTATCAAGATTCACATTGCTTGTTTTAATCTAATTACACAGAATCATCTGTACTCACACCTTGAAACAATCCCACCATCTGTCCTTCTCTATCAAGATACCATTCTCAAATAGAACACCTTCACTCTTCAACAACCTCAATTTCTCCTTCTGATTAATGCCAGAAGGCGCATCTTGCGGCTCTCCCTTGAATCCACCAATTGACTATTGTCCGTGAGGGAGCCCCAGTTAGCAAATGCCTCATAAATTTAGCCATGGTTGAGCTGGAGCTTACGCCATCTGCGCAAATTATTCTGTGGCAAGGCACTTCCGGCGCGAAAGGATTCCTTCGCAATGCACCGCCCACTGCTCGAGGAGAGGAAGAGAGAGCTTTGGAGAGGGAGGCGTAGGAGGCGACTTTTCCTTTGGGGATCTGGCATAGGAGTGCGTAGACGCGCTTTGGACGTGTCAGTCTCGCTTTGAAAATTGGTAGGCGGGGCAATGGCGGGTTAAAAGGGGGTTTCGAGTTACCTCTTGATATTCTGTGACTGTCATCTTGGAGAGAGTTGGATTTCTAGTGAACATGAATGATTGCCGAGAGAGAATTCAGGAATATCGTTACGCTTTTTATGGTGAAGTGAAGGAGCGCGTCACTTTGCAGATGCAGCTTCTGATTGGTCACTTCCAGAGCAGTCTCGCTTACTCATTGCCGACGCCTTGCCTCCACCTAAATTCAACGACCTCATTCGCAACTTTCGTCACAACTACATCGCTTTCGTCTTTTTGACTCATATCAGACATGGAATCATTTCCATGCCATACCAACTGCTTTCTCTTCAAAATATCTTGACCGATGCAAAACTGGCAGCTACCTTCGCCTTACCGTATCAGACAATATCATGCCTCAATTCGCCACCTCCAGTACTCGTTGGGCTGCCCTCCAAAGTCGAAATCCCAAATCAGCAAGTGCATTCGTCTACTGCGTCACAACAACCAAAATATACTGCCGTCCGACATGTCCCTCACGCCTCGCAAGACGAGCAAATATCGTGTTCCATGACACTGCCGCTGAAGCAGCGGCGGAAGGGTTCAGAGCGTGCAAGCGCTGCCGCCCAGAACTGAGAGATGGGGCCGGCGATCCTCAGAAGATGGCTGTTGGGAAAGCGTGTGATTTGGTCAGGAAGGAGCAGAGTGGTGAAGTAGATAGGAAGTGCAGCGTCAAGGCGCTGGCAACGGCGGTGGGGTTGACGGAAAGCCATTTCTGCAGGATCTTCAAGAAGGTTATGGGGATGACCGTGGGGGAATACCGGGCTTCTATTCTCCCTGGGACTATGGGGGGCTTCCCGGAAGTGGTCGACACCGATCAGCAACAAGCCTTCGACATTGCTCAAGATCCCGAAGAGTGTTTTCCTACGCCCAACATCTCAAGAGACTATGGATACGAGAATGGTCTGCCGTTAGCAAACTTCGATTGCCTCGAGCTGGAGAAAGACTGGCATCGTTTTGCTGGTGTACTGCCCTCCATACCGATGCCGTTCGACCTCATCGACTCCGAGGAGTCATCGCCGGATTATTTCTCTGATTCTGTCAACCTCGACATGATGGATGATGGCTTCCAATTCCTCGATTTTGGCAGCTCTAACTCACCGGACTACCTGTGCTGAGCGATCCGGGCAGAATTGTATGATTCACGTAGAAAATAGCTGGACTTTTGTCCATTCTTGCGGGGAACAGCTCGAGGAGCCAACGGCGCAAGTCTGACGTTGCAAACCGTGATGCCAGAGAAGACAAAATTCCCAGAGGAAGCACTCTGTGGATACAGTAATTATCTAACAATGTTGTACAGTACTTAATCCTTTGACATTTTACTCGCTTTCTCATGATCGCACGAGGACCCACTCGTAATACCATGTGCATATTGTTTTCTCATTCTGCTTAAAACCCTCTTTCATCGTGCGAAGGCTGGGTTGGTTTTGTTCAAGAACGATAAAAATAGAGCACCTGGATATGTCTCGAAATATTGCATAGCTCAAATATACCTACAACAGCATAACCGCAGCAGCAAGCGCTCCCAATCCTGCAATATAGGCTCCTCTGCCATCGCTCACAGTTGTCACACGGCCTGCACTCTTCGGTGTGGTGCCCGTCCCTGTCGCCGCTGCACTAGCTGTCCCGGTCCCCGTGCTTCCTGCTCCTGCTACACTAGCGGTTGTCTTGGTGATATTTGACTGTATCAATGTCGTATTCGTAACATCAAAACTGTTCCCGAACAAAACATTCAACCCCGAACTTTTCACAACGTTCACTGCGCTGAAGTCGCTTCTTGTTTTGGCGAATGTAGATAGTGTGGAGAGAGCGCTGCTGTTTCCGGTGGTGTTGAGCAGCATTTGAGTGTACCGGTGAGTATTAGGAGACTTGTTTGGTGGAGAGGGTTGGATATAGGTTGCCAATGCAGAGGTGTTGGTGGGATTGATTAACTCGAACATTCGAACTCCACCGATGAATGTGGCGTTGTTCGCGGAAACGAGACCTGACTGCATCCACTAAGTAACGGGGGAGTCAGCAATTGCTTAATTGGGATTGTTTCGGGAGAGGACGTTGTCTTAGAAAAATCTCATGAAACAGTCACAAATAGGAAAGGGTTTCTCCCCCAACACCTACGTGGAGAAGTTCACCAGTTGGCCCACCAGCTGTTTGAGGAGGGATGTCCGGGTCTACCATCATGATCGTGTAACTGCCAAAAAGCTTCTGGGAAGTGCCGATAATGGGAGGTTGCGCCGTTTCTGGAATGCATTAGAAAGAATGGGGGAGACTATTTTGATGGAAAATCTCACCGGCTTTGAGGATATTCTTGCCATTGGTAGCTAATGTGTTCCCGAACACAACCGTCAAGTTATTTGAAGAGGCAGGCTCGAATCCAGCCGGTGTGAATGCAGTTGCGGCGCCAGCGAGCACAACAAGAAGGAGGGGTGAAGGGAACATGGTCTGAAGAAGAAACCAAAGAACCAAAAATACAAAAGGTATCAACAAGAACAATTAAAAATCATAAATGGCAACGCAAGAAGGGAAAGATGGGGTTGAAAGGTAAAGTAGAGATTTCAAAACTGCCAAGGAAAGCCCTGACGGTCCGAGGCGACCTCGAAAGGTCTCCCTGTGCTTCAGCGTTGTTTCGAAACATTATGCAAGAACGGACAGGCCCGTCAATTGGCCGCAGACCATCGATTTTCAGGGGTTCATACGGGTTTGAAGTGGTCAATGCCGAGGGTACACATTGATTCGTGAGAGGAAGTAAGTGGTGTGTGTTTTCTGATCGACAGTCTGTTCGTCCAAGTTGCAGGGCAAGTGGCGCTTTTACCAAGTCGAAGACAGATGTGGCTTGAACATGAATGGGAGACCTCCAGTCCGGAGGCTTGTTGCAGATATTATTGGCCGATTGGGGCACCTTCTAGAAGCTGCGACACTCGTCGTCTCGATGTTAACAGGTCACGTGAAAACAGACGTCAAGGAAACACCTTAAGGTAGATGAAACATGGAAAGAGCACATCTTCGGCATCCGCGTGGCTGTGAATTGAGTGAAAGGCTCCATTCCACTTAAAACCTGGAGAAGACCTCCAAGCACGTCATCAACTGTGAAGCCTCCGGTGCAGCCTCAACAGCTTAATGCCAATGGCCCAAGACGGATTCCTCGAGGGCCGAGAAGCAGCTCAAAAACACCGTTTGACGGCCCCATGCAAATTTTCATCGAAAAGCAGCTGCGGATATCAGTACGGTCGCTCGAGTCACAGACTGTGCTGTCTTGGTGTTTCGCTGTCGGACCCATGCCGCGAAAACATCAGTCAAGTTACTGTTTACTCCTTACCAGCCAATGTGTCGACCAAAATAAAACAGCGATTCCAGAGCAATTGGTTTGTTGGTTTTGAGAGGGAAGATCGTTGTGATTTTGGGAGAGATCAATAACAGAGGAAAGAGAATAGGGGGCTGAAAAGGGGGCCAAGCGACGCTAAGACAATCTAGACTGTCATGTGACCTTTATACTACAACTCCTCTCCCATCAACTTCACCGACTTCACTTCTCATCATCCACAACACCTGAGGCTACTTCAGATTTGCAGCGTCGAAGCCTCACCACCGCTACTCAATGTACAATCGCATCACCATGCTAGAAGCTCAAGCGAGCCAAGTTGTCTGTCTGTTAGCCCGTTAGGTCTTGGGCTATGAATCTGACCTCCACGGTTGCGGAAGATGCTCAAGTGGATTACTATGCGTTCCATCTTTTTTGAAACATTCAGCTGTCTTGGGGTAGTGGGAGCAGATAATGTGAAAAAGTTTCTCGTATCCCATCCAGCTCCGTTGCAACATTGAGGGTCCAGGCTCACTATTTCCACGCTTCATTGCGCCCTATGAAGCATTAAGTGGGACCTCTCAACACGCAATGTGCTGCTCGTTGCTCCGTCGATGACAACCTTAATTGCGACCCCGCCCCACTACCCTCTGAACGTTGCAACGGAGCTGGATGGGATAACACCCGTCAACGATAGCTGATTTGCAAGGAAGAGGTTCGCGAGGGCGGTCGAGGGGAAGCCGACGTGGGAGGGCAACTGCACGGTGATGAGCTGGAACGTCATCCCTTACGCGGAAGAAAGTCTGGGGGTTTTAAGGTAGCAAATACAGCCGAGTTAGGCTTCAGACGAAGGGCTTTCGACGTGCAACAGACTCTACACCCATCTTCCTCTGAAGTTGTTACGTAAATCTTTCGGGAACTAAAGCAGTTCACCGAAATTTCCACATCATCTACACTTGAAGCCTCCAGCACAAGTAGACTTAAAGTTATGCGCCTGGACAAGCAGTAGCCCATGACTAAACTGCAATCTAACCCCTCTCAGGAACGTCCTGGAGGTACTAAGCTTTGATCGGCGATTTTAAGTTTTGATTCTCGATCGGGATGGACTACCTTCTAGTACCAGCTAAAATCAAATAGATCGGCAGGCTAATAATGTTTCAATTTAATCTTAAACAGAAGCTGAGAGATATGTGGCCTAAGCATATCCGACGATGAATCAATGACATCCTCTCAAGCGGACTATTCTCTATTGTTGTCGAGCTGACCAATCCCCTTTCTTCAATCTATTCGAACCTCCTTTATTCTTCACAGAGTTTGATCAATAATTTGCACATTTCCTGGGCTAGAAAGCTTTGAGATTCGATATTCTTGGTAGTTATTTGGAATTTGCAAGCTATGGATTAATTAAATGCGTTTGGCCGGGTACTGTAATTAGGTCATGGCGGCTCTGGCAATGGCGGAGAAATATATTGACTCTGCGTACCTCGGATTTCCGAATCGTGTGCTATAGGAGTTATGAGGCCACGAAGGTCATGGCTATATCTCGTGCCAGCATTAAGCAACGCGATTTTCGAGTTGAGGGTTGGAGCTAGTACATTGACACATGCAGGATAGGACTTGGACTTGGGCTTAGGATGAGCATGTTGTGCAAGACTGGCTATAGACCCTTTGATGGGTTGGTGCTGTTTAACTTCAGCTCAAGTATCCCGTCCGCCTAAAATTTGAACGCCGCTCCCTTTATTGGAACACTTCAAAAGTGTAGCCCTTCTGCCGAACAGAAATTGGTACTAATTAGTGATATTCATTTGCTTCTCTTGAAGCACAATTCAACTCGTTGTTCAGAATTCTTGAAGTATTCGGGGGAATCCAGCCCTAAGCGAACCCCTTCATTCTCCGTGTATGCTTAACCTTCCTTATGACGCCTCTATAAATTCTTCTTCTCACAACCTTCAGACAATTCCTTGACCTTTATAAATGTTTTCACCGCTTCTGTCAATGCGTCTAACCAGCCATACCCCGCACCAAGCGCCACTTTAATCAGGAGGCATACAAAAAAATTGTACTCAGTCGACCCCTCCTCAGCAGCAGCACAGCCCACCAAAAGCACCCAGGTGAATATTCCAGGAAACCGGTCCCACACGTCATCATTTGCTGGAGACTCGACCGCTTGGCAAAGTGCTACCGTTGATTTTCTGTTGATAGGCGACGAGAATGGTATCTGTGGGGTTTGTAGAGCACCCAGATATATATCTGACGTTTGCTGGATGATACGGAATAATGCGGAAGTGTCCTGGTCCATTCTTGTTTTGGGCTCATAAAGGTCGTGCTTATATTCCGAAAAGCTGCAGCTCGTACCAGCGATACGGTGCATGGTAATCATTTGCGCCCGCTGTAGGTATCTGGCACCCCTCTCACCAAAAGAGGATACCTTGAGAGCGATTTTCATTGTTCTTTGAGTTGTTAAGGGTGAGTCTGCGACCTTGTAGAACACCGCACCGAGCAAATCCGCAGGAAATAAAGTCGGTTGGGAGAATCGAGGTTGATGCTTACTCAGGGCAGCAACGAGTAGATCAATGCTGCAACTTTGTCAGCGATTCGAATGCAGTTTAATCAAAGAAATCTTACACTAATATTCGAGCGAGAACATTCCTGTTGTTAACATTTCCAAGTCCTCCACGAAGGTTGACGATTTGTTGGACGCCATCCATATAATATCGAGCCTCAGTCACGTTCCCTCTCATTAGCTTCCAGGGTGTATATTATTAGCCTTGGGGATATCAATTGCGAAGCTCAACTAGTTCCAGCCAGGCTCTCACGTGAAAAGCATCGAGTTCCAAGAACCGAGAAAACTGTTCACATACCTCAAAATTTATGAGCAGCAATATGCTCCCAATCGTCGCATCACCTGTGCCAACGGAAAGAGTGTCGAGGCGATCGTTGATCCATTGTATGGTTCCCACTTTGAACGAGTAGTATTCTCGACTATTGATTATATGTGGAACTACCAGAGCTGATTTATGCATACATCCTCGAGGAAGATTAAAATTTGGAGCTGGCAGAACTCTCGAAGGCATAAAAATGGAGAACTTTGGTTTCTCTGCCCCGATAGGCTTTGGGAACGGCCAAGTTCGAGCACTCAAACACAGCGCAGGGGCTCCTTCATCTTGTAATAAAGTATATGGCGAGGCTAAGGGGGGTCAGATATTAATGTATCTAGGGAGGATAAAGACTCACTTGTATCAAACACCCATCGATCAAATTTATGCGCGTCCAGGTTGAGAGATTGTAAAGATGGCAGAGGTGAGTCCAGCTCTGGAGTTGTGGAGAAGAAACGAGCTTCGCTATCCTCACTGGCAAGATAACTTGACTCTGGGGTAAGACCTATATCAGATTCTGATCCTACACTGAGGGCAGTGGCAGCTTTCGTATCTGTAGATGGCGTCTGGGGTTCCGATGTGACATTCGTATTTGCCGATGTGATGCTAAATTTGGATTGAGCTGACCATTGGGGAGAGCTTTTTTGGAGGATTGCTCGTCTCCGAACAGGCAGGGTGTTCTTCCTCTTCTGAACCGCGCGGGACTGACGCTTCGCATGACTGCGAACAAGCTTCTTCTGTTCCCGGTTCCTGGGGAGGTGTGGCTCGTTATTGATGACGAATTGCAGTGGTGCAGCCGTCCCGCTTTCTGAGTAATCATGTGCGTTTTCATACATCCTACCGGCCTCCCGGATATCGGTCGAGGAGGCATCTGGTGTGACATTCATTGCCATGATGCTCTCAGCCACGGCACTGGGAGTTGCTTTTTGATTTGTAATCCAAAAGAGGCTGGAGAATTGCAAGCGTAGTCATCAAGTGGCTGGTGAGAGATTATGCACATACTGATCACAGCAGACACAAAGCAATCTGAATACCGGTAATCACTCTCCGAAGACGAAATCAGGTTTGGAAAAGTCATGATTTTACGCCTCCAAGGGAGAGCGTCTCGATAGCAGACGGGAAGACCGAATGAAGAGGTCTTCAAGGTCTTAAGAATCTTGGGTCTTTGGGTCTGGATGCTTCCACCAAGATTTCTACATGGTGCCTAAGCTCGTAATAATGCAAACCCCAATTAACAGCCTGCTTACCTAATTATTCGCTGATCCCATGCATGCCTTGAGAAACTCTGTTCATTATTGGCTCTAACCATTTCCTCTTTAGTCGTACGGTTCTTGCTGAACACGAGTCTGCAAAGCATAAACTGCAGGCCAGTCAAATCTTTAGAAATGAGCCTCGCTCCTAATTTTATGTGGATTTCTCGGCGATCCGAACCAGTTTCCACCTGGATGGATTCAGGGGTGTGGGGCCGAAGGTTGCGCAAGGTGATTTATAAGCTCTTGGCAGCTGAGACCGTCTCGAGAATACACTCATCCAATGGAGAAGATGACAAAAATTTCGCAATCGTATGAAGTGCAAGCATAGAAGTCATGTCTGCAACGGACTCTGCTTATTTAAGTTTTGGGGAAGACTCTAACCTTCAGCAATTTTCTCCGGAGCTGTTAGCAGTATCCTAAGCCTAACGTTTATTTTATGCCAAGTATTCAAAAATCCAACTCAAAATGACACTTGTCGATCGAATAAGTCCAGTACGTGTGGCAAATGAGGAAGGGTTGATACTCAACGATATCATTCCTGCACGGCATAAGCTATGGTGGCACTATCCTGGTTTAAGAACACTCAATCTCCTCTTACTGTGTGCTGTCGTGACAGATATCACCAATGGCAAGTCTCTCTCAAGTCACGGATCCAAACTTCCATTCTCTGTTATTGTTACTAATAACGTGAACAGGATATGATGGGAGCATGCTCAATGGCCTACAAATTCTCCCAGAGTGGAGGAACTTCTTTCAACATCCAACCGGATCCAGGCTTGGCTCGATTACTAACGGCGTGAGATATGGCCAACTTGGAGCGCTTTTCATTGCGGCCCCCCTGATCCAACGACTTGGGAGAAAGAAGCCAATAGCAATAGGTTCAGCTATTCTCCTCGTCGGGGTGGTGTTGCAGGTTGCGGCGCAGAATTATGCAACATTCGTTGCCGGCCGTTTTCTGATTGGTTTCGGAAATACGATTCAGACCACTGCATGTCCAATCCTGATATCTGAGCTATCCCACCCCTCCCAACGGACCCAGATGGTCGGTATCATGAACAGTACTGGTTCGCTTGGTCAACTTATGGCAGCTTGGATTACTTTTGGAACGGCCTCCATTGTTGGCTCATGGTCTTGGCGACTCCCAAGCGCTCTGCAGGCCGTCTCCTCGCTGTTCCAAATGATTCTATCCATTTGGGTTCCCGAATCGCCTCGCTGGTTGGTCGAACATAACCGAACTTCAGAGGCTCGACAGATCTTGCAAAAATATCATGCCGAAGGCGACAGCGACTCTCCTTTACTCCAGTTCGAGATGAAGGAGATTGAACGGACAATTGAAGAGGAGAAAATCCAAGCTGTGACCTCATGGAATGAATGGATACGAACTCATGCCAATCGCCACAGACTTTTCATCGTTGTCACTGCCGGGTTCATCATTCAATGGTGCGGGAATGCTGTATTATCCAACTATCTCCACTTGATACTTGTCAATATCGGCATCAAGTCGAACAGAACGCAGCTTTTGATCAATTGTGGTATCGCTCTCAATGGGATGTTCTGGGGTAACTTCTTCTCGATGTTCGTTAACCGCATGGGTCGAAGACCTCTCTTCCTGGTGAGCTTATTTTCGATACTACTCTGCTCTTCTTTTGTTCAAGAGCTCAGAGCCTGGGAGCTTCCCCGGAGCCTGCATGTCCATGCCTCGGGAGCATTGCTCTTCGGCTCCCGACCTCCCTCTTGAATTTTATAAAAACTCCATACTAATTCGATGGTTAGATCGGCATGACCGGAATGTGTTTCGCACTCATCGTCATCACAATACTAGGCTCGTTCCAAGCCCGAGAGACATTCAGCTCCGCCCTCGGATTCTCCGCCGTTGCAATGTGGTTCGTCTTTGGCGCCTTCTACAAAATGCCAGCACCCATGGTCAACAGCTACATCGCCGAAGTAGCACCCTACAACCTCCGCGCCAAAGCCTTCGTGATTTTCGGATTCGGGGACGCCTTGGCGAATCTCTTCAGTGGATACGTCAACCCTATCGCTCTCGCAGCAATCGGTTGGAAGTATTGGCCTGTGTGGGTTTTTGTTCTGGTGAGCAACTTCACTATCATCTACTTCTTCTACCCCGAGACGAAGAACTTGGCGCTGGAAGAAGTGTCGAGAGTTTTTGACCACGTTCCTTTGGAGAACAGCGATGGGGGGGAGGCTGGCAGTGAGAGCAATGAGAAATCTTCGGTTGATGGCGAGGAAATTCGGACCCCGGGTAGTAAAGTTTGATTTAGTAGGAAGGTGTAGGAAGAGGGAAAATGTTGAGAATAGGGGAAGGGGTGCTAAGACTTTACCCCGCCATTAAGCGAATTTGCCCCTGAAAATCCACACATACTCTTGCTTTCGAGAGTCTTTCATTATTTCTACATAACCACAAGATTTATGATCGGAAAGTCCAAATAGATATGATTAAGAGACATCAGATATTAAATTTGAAAATACACGAAAGTGAATTCAGACACGAAGAACTGGTTGAGCTTCGGAAGTGTCCTGGTTGAGTGCGCCTATTTGAGTCGGACAGAACACCGCAAAGGTGACCTTTAAAGCATTTATTGACATCATAGTCATAACCACAAAGGCTCGAGATTCTCAGTAAAAGAGTTGAGGTTATCTATTCCGCCAAAGGAAAGCCAGAGCCAAAGTTGTCTCAATCCAGTACATTAAAGTGCCTAACTGTCCAATTGCTCTCTTCCTAAAGTGAGTCAGTGACTTTCCAGGAATTATCGAATCCAACCAAAGAAATGCGTCTCTCCAAGCCATTAAGCCATTATGCCATCAAGTAACTCCGAATCTCATACACGCCCCAGAAAAGCAACGCAAGTACGGAGATTCAATGTGAGGACAGTGCCAAAAGTGAGAAATCACAATTAGCATCCATGTCCACCTTGGCCATTCCAGCCCAGCACCCAGACCGCATAACCATCCGTGTCACTCTCCTGACCACCTGCAATCCAGACACCCGGGTCAGCCCAATCCTCGGTGCATGATTGTTCGATATCGTACGCGTAGCTTGCTAAGTAGGCAAGGGCCGGGTCAATGGCGAAGTTGTTCTGCTCTTTAGTTAGAACATATCCAAAGGGAAATAGGCAGCAAGAAAGAAGGGCAAATGGAAGGGTGGCGGCGGGAGGCGCACATAGTTGCAAAGCCAGAGATTATCACTGTTAATGCAGCACATTGAGACGCAGCTGTTTCCGGGGCAAATGATACGGCCTAATCCAGTGCTGTGGAGGAAATTGATACATTGGAGGATGTTTGTAGCCTCTGCACCTTGCAAAGAACCACTGATATAAGTTATGCAGCTTACGCCATCCTTTCATTCCCATTAGCCAAGTGTCTTGGAACTTTCCTCGTTGAATATTTACTCACCTTATTACGAGTCGTAAGGGCTTTAGGCTCATTGTTGATCTCATGTTTGGGAAACTGAATACCAGGATAAAGCTTCTTGAGCTGCTCTTGAATGTGCTGTTTGAGGTTAGTCATTTGATTGGATGAGGGAAAAAGGGGGAGTGGTGGTGCTTGCCTGGACAGTACCGTTCAACTCGTAGGGATGATCGTTGACCTGGCCCGCGAAAGTGGCTTGGTGGATGGGGCGTGGTAATTGATCAAATTGGTAGTTGGGAGAAAGAGCTAAGATGAGCTGGGTGAAGAAGACAAGAGCTGCTATGATTGCAATGCGATGCATGGTTGCTACAGAGTGTGTTTGGTTGTGCGGGACCTGTCTTAAGTGGCTCTGGTCCGAAGATGAAGAAGAGCTTTTTGTTGGGTGTTGAGGTTCTTAAAGAGAGAAGAAAAGAAATCAAGAAAGAGACGAAGTTAACGTCTTCTTCATTAGACAAGGCCTTGTGGCCTTTGCAATATGGCATAGATTTACGCTAAACCTGAATTGGGTTTGAGTTGAAGATCTTAACTGTCATTTACGCCATTACTGAACTTGATTTGGCTTTGAGTTGAAGAGTTGACAGTCATCCGTGTCACAAGTATTACTGAAGACTGGATGATGACGCAATTGGAGTCTGAATAATAGTGAATATGTGTCGAAACGGGCACACCTCAAGAGTAGAACATTTTATTACACCTCGACAGGAAGAATAGCAATAATTCAGAACTCCGGGCAACTAGTATTCTATGCCATCGACAACACTGCCTTCTCCAGAGGGGAAGGTTAGTCTAGCTCTCATATACCAAGCGCATAGAATTGAAGAGTTATGATCGATTCGCTTTTGATTCACGTCATTTTCTCTGGAAGATACCTACTAGTAATGATTTGTGCAGGAAGTAAATTCCGGGGGCTTAGACATTGCACAACTGTGAGGCTGTGATCTCGATGCTGTACCTCAACTTCGAGCAGAAGCCGTCTCTCAAGGACGAATATTGAATTCGGCACCCGAAGCTACCTACGCCATCTTGAACTCCTCCGTTTCATACGACAGACTGAATTGCTTTCCTGACAATGCCTCTTCTTTGTCATCCACTATTGGATCCTTCTCTTACGTCTCTCGGAAATGGAAGTGGACTGAATCTGCTGTTACTGGACTCGCAAAACGTCAAATAAGCTATGGCGCTTTCATACCAAAGTTCAGTAATTGCATGTGCATCATTTTATTTTGAATCAATTTGAATCACCCCTAGCAGAACTCATTGCGTGCCAGAAGAGAATTTGTTGAAACTTCAAGGGCTGCCGATATTCTGAGAGTTTCATAATCCCATCAATAGGTACAGTGGACATGATAACCAGAGGGGATGCTTATACGATTCATCTGATTCATCTGATTCATCGCAACTTTCTTCATAAAGACAGAGGGTCCACAGCTTACTAAAGCTTGCCCTCCCTCATCTTCGGCAACTTCCAATCCGCTCATCAGCAAAGCAGCATGTATGCGTCCGCCATTCTGGCATCGCCTATACGCCATTCATTCATCCATCGCTAGACTCCACTAATGCCACCCCACCAAATCTTCCGTGAAACGCCATATTCACAAGTCCCTCATCTGATATGCCCTGGGGAATCATGAAAAAAAATTATCCTATTCATACAAGTAAGTCAACATGGGAAAGGAGATATCTTAAGTTCGAGGTGGGAACGCGTTCGGAGGACGAGCGGGGAGACTGAAGGGAGGGTTAGGCAAGCTGCTGAAGCTATTGGTGTTCGTGCTGGCATTGAATTGTCGTTTGGGTGCTCGTATCGGCTCCTCATCTTCGTCACCGCTGGAGGTTAGATCGATGACTGCTGAGATTGGTCGCTTGCTGCTCGTCGAGCCGGGGTTCTTTGGGGTTCCAGATGACTCTCGAGATTGAGAGGGGCCTCCGAGGGCAGGTTTGTACGCAGAAGGAGCACCCATTCGCACGCTGTTGCCGGACTTGGTGATCTCGACGATGTCGTCATCAGAATCGCTTGCAACGCCGTTTGATCTTGAATTCGACGCTGGTTCTTTCCTGTTATTCAGTTCCCACTTGGCGTTAGGCTGAATGGTCACTTGGTCAACTGATCTTGATGTGCCCTTCAAAATTGAGTTGACATATCTAACGACGCGTCAGCGGAAGTCAACAATATAAAAGCTGAGCAATTACTCGTCAACAGCCAAGCTATCGAAAGGCGCGGGATTGTTGCAAGTAGGGCACAGCCATGTAGGACCTTGCTCTTGTAATTGGAGGTACGAGGTAGCGTCAAAGCATTGGTTGTGACGGCAGGCTATTGATCGGACCGGTAGAGAGATTCTCAACGTCGACAAGGGGCATTTCAATGACAAGACCGAGGCGGTGGTCACAATGTCAGCATCACGTGCCTTGTTGAGCACTAAAAGTCTTATAAGCAAAGGTTATTGAAATATCTGACAGGAAACTTACTATCGTCAACAACAGACTTCTCAGTGATTCTCTTTCCATTTTCAAGTTTCTTCACAAGATCCGTGACAGGTATACTCCGCACCACATAGAGGACGAGATAAAATTTCTGTACGCAGCGTTAGCAGTTAAACCAAAATTCGGCGCAAAAGGGGACAAGCAGTTGGGAATAGCAGGGACGAGAGGAGGGGGTTGAGGAAGCTAACTTCGGAACGGCCACCAACCTTGGATGTCAGAGCATAAGTCATCTCGACATTGTTGCTGTAAGCGGGAATGTTCAGACGTAATTCTTTGGTAATGTCAACGGGTCGAGTAGAGCCTGGTTTGTTCTTCAAACCACGCAAATTGGCTTTGACCTCTCCTCCATTGACCTTGATCTCTGATTGGTGCGGGAAGGCAATATCCTGTCGACCACCTCCTTCCGCAGCACAGAACACCATCACCTTCAGATTGGAGTCTGTTTGTACTCGAGTGAGGATAGGATAGTCGATGGGTCGGAGAGGTACTTTGACGGTGTGCCGGTGGTGCGTCATAACTATGGCTTATTAGTTTATAACTTGTATCCAGCAGAATCCCTCTTACTGTCACATTGTGTCGGACCCCCCAGCTGCTCCTCGATGACATAGTATGGACTTGACTTGAATTCGATCCCTAGTTCCCTGGTCAGAATATGACGCGTATTGGCGCGAGAGAGGAGCTTACTTGGATGTCCAATGATACGATAAGTTGCAGCAGGACCTCCTCCCTGGTTGTGGGCAGCGACGGCAGAGAGGTTGTTCGATTTCGACGGGCCTGAAGAGGTGGTTGCTGGGGGGTTCACAGAGGGAGATGACGACGAGCCTGCCATTGCGCGGAATGGAGTCGCCGATTCCTCAATGGAGTTTGGGTCATCGATCATAGCTTTCAGCCTGTAGAACTTATTCGCGTCGCCGTTCTTTGCATGTCTTTGAATACCTGCAGAGAGATCGAAGGTTAGCCAAGCTTGGACTTTCCTTGTCGGAAGATGTGTGCGCGGGGTGGACTAGTCTATCGTGGAAAGTATAGAGCGGCGAGGCTGCGTCAATAACCGTTTGGGACGAACTCACTATCGATAATCTTCTGCTGAAGCTCAGCCTTGACACCATACTTGGTCAAACCCTCTCCAACACAAATGAGCTGGAGGATTTTGTTGACCATTCCAGTTCCTTTGACCTTCCGTATGGTTGCCTCAACATCGTATTGAGTGATCGAGGCCATACTGGATGGCTCTAGAGCGCAGAGGGGTTTTGCAGATGGGTTGGATGCATGAAGAGAAGTTCGGGCGTTTTAGGGACGAATAGAAGAGGAAGAAAATTTTCCGGAGTCCTCTTTATATTCACAGTTGGCTTTGAAGCACGCGAACGTTGGAAGTGAATATGGGCGCCTCGCAGCCGCTGAGTCCTTTCACAGTTGATGTTATGTGCCTTGTCGTTTCCACGACCTCACACCGCCGCAAAGCGGCAGAATTCTTTAAACTTTCCCCAAACAGGCGCTAAAGCCTCGAGGGGAAGCGGAATATTTATCCCGCTTTGAGATATTCCCACCTCAGCCACGATAAATTTCTCGGCCTATCCTAGATTCGAGGAACTCAAAACTCTTCTCAGATCGCCAATCGAATTCTCGAATCCGACAAGATGGCAAAGGGCGCTCGAGCAAGCACGAAAAAGGCGAATCACCAGAAGCTGAAGAGTAGAGTGTTCGGCCCAGTTGAGAGTGCGCGAACAGAGAGGCTTTCAGCAAAGTTCCTGGAATTAGCTTCACAACCAAAACCCCAGCCAGTCAAAGAGGATATTGTCATGAAGTCAGAAGATGGTATGGGCAAGAATTCTTCATTTGGGTTGGGGTTCTGACATGATGTTCAGGCACTGCAAAAAATAATGAGGTCCCCACTCAGAGCAAACAGACAGAGGGTATGACCTCTTTCCAAGTTATTACACAGCGGTAGGCTAACTGATTTTCTGCAGAGATGGAAGTAGACCAGGAGGCTACAAAGAGCAGTGATCGCCCAAAGACGTCCAGTAAAGGCCGAATTGAGAAAACAAGACACCACCGCAAGGCATCCATCGTCTTTCCTAAATACAGCAAAGGTAAACGAGTTGGCGGATCAAGAGTGAAGAAGTAGGATATATTGAAAGGAGACAATGGTATGGACATATGGCGTTATGGGAGGGTATATTTGGCGGAGTCATGGGAGCTTGGGGGGTGTTTAAGGATCGATCACATTAGAAGGAGTTTGGCTTTTCCTACGGATTCCAATATTCAAAACCATTCTTACGTGGCAGAGACTGCAGTCCTATAATATCCGAATAAAAATCTGTCCCAAAATGTCCTAAATACCCACCAGGCTAAATACTTGGAGTTCCAGTTCCTTTCTTAAATCTCAGCATAAATTTTTTTCCTCATGTATTTTACCGATAAGACAAGCTCCTTATCGGCGCCTCGGGATCAACGCGTCCAGGCCACATTGCTTCAACGCGACTTCCAGTGCACATTAACTCTAGGAAATCATGGCAGTTGCCTTGTGCTGCAAAGAATTATCTCTGTACGCTTCAGAATCAAAAGTCTGCTAACCTTGGCTGCTGGGCCAAGCTAGAATACAGCAAAATGGCCTTCCGAAATCACATTCTCTCCTTGCTTGCTGCCAACGTCCTCATCCCAATTGCAATACTAGTATTTGCAAGAGGATTCTTTCCTTACAAGCCCTTCCTATCTGGTCTAGCGAAATATGAGACTCTGTCATGGGGTGCTCCTCCAGAAGCGCCGTTTGATAAGGTGGTATTTATGGTCGTGGATGCACTTCGAAGGTAAGCAACCCTACAAAGACCCGGAGCTATGCTGACAATTGCAGTGATTTTGTTTATTTACGAGACTCTGGTTTTGCCTTCACTCAAAGGTAGTTTCTCTCTGTGCCAAGAATGCAATTCAAAAGCTAATACTTCTCAGCCTGATCTCCGATGGATCCGCAATCCCCTTCACGGCCCATGCCACATCTCCAACGATCACCATGCCTAGAATCAAGGCTATAACTACTGGATCTATACCCTCGTTCCTCGATGTGATCCTCAACTTTTCCGAATCAGATACGACCTCAACGCTCGCATCACAAGATACATGGCTTGCACAAATGAAGGACAAGTGGAAGAGCAAATGGGCTCACAAATTGATCATGTACGGTGACGATACTTGGCTTAAATTGTTCCCAGGGACCTTCCATCGCTCAGATGGGACATCAAGCTTTTTTGTTTCGGTTAGTCAAACTTCTATAGCTCTCAATAGAATTTGGCTGAATACGTACTTGTAGGACTTTACGGAAGTGGACAACAATGTGACCAGGTATGTCCCAGAAGAATTGAATAATGATGACTGGAATACTGTGGTACTTCACTACCTTGGACTGGATCACATTGGCCACAAAGCTGGACCAAGAAGGCAGGAATATCCCACGTCGAGTCCTCAAAGATGATACTAACTTCCCCAAGTCCAAACATGATTCCCAAACAGCGGGAGATGGATGGCATTATAAAGCAGATATATGAGGCCATAGAAACGAAGCAGAAACTTAAATCAACACTTCTCGTACTCCTTGGAGATCATGGCATGAATGATGCTGGCAATCACGGAGGTTCAGCTCCAGGAGAGACCTCACCGGCTCTCGTCTTCATTTCCCCAAAGCTTAAAACGATCACTTCCGGAGATCACAAAGCTCCACCTCCATTCAAAGAAGATTTCCAGTACTATTCAACTGTCGAACAATCAGACATAGCCCCAACTTTAGCTGGCTTACTTGGCTTTCCTGTTCCGCAGAACAATCTTGGGGCTTTTATTCCCAAATTTCTCGAGTTCTGGCCGAAAAGTACGTCTACTCGTCAATGCTCGACTTAGATGCTAACCAGAACCAGAGAACGATAGAATTCAGCTTCTCATGAGGAACGCTAGGCAGATGCTCAAGGTTGTGTCTGCGACTTTTCCCGAGTTCAACAAAGTCGGTGCCGGCGATAATTGCGAAGATTTCTTAGGTAGTATTAACAAGCTTGCTTGTGGATGGAGAAAAATCGTTGGAATCGTAGCAGATGCAGAAGAACTTGAGGATGTTGAGCCATTGCTTCGATCCATGAGCAAGGTATGTGATAGTCGCATTTTGACGGAAAGAGAGTATTAACATTTAGCAGTGGCTGAAGCAAGCCCAAGAGCTCATGAGCGGTACAGCCAGTAACTACGATACTTTGAAGCTCGCGCAAGGCCAAGCTCTAGGACTCGCGGCTCTTATTTTGGCAACGGTGGCGGCCGGTCCAACCATCTATGTTTCCGTGAAAACTTGCTACCCAATCATTCTGATCGGCCTGCTATATGGAATCATGATGTTCGCGAGCAGTTACGTGGAAGAAGAGCAACATTTCTGGTATTGGACCAGCACAGCATGGGTGGCGCTGCTCTGGATAATATCGTAAGTCCTTGTCTTGACCTCTTGATTCAAAGCTCACAGGAAAATAGCTCCCGGAAACAGAGACTCACTCCTCGTCTCCTGGCAATGAGTTCTCTCATAGTTCTCATCTCAATGAGACTCGCCAGACGTTGGAACCAGACTGGTCAAAAGTTCGCTGGAGAGCCAGATATCGCGCGAACTTTTTTCTCCTCGCACCGCCTTACTCTGTGGACTCTCGTGGCTCTCACATATCTATGGAACATACAGTCTCTCGCTACCAAAGGATTCTCTCGGTTCCCACAACTCGCCGCGGGAGCAATAGCTACAACTCTGGCCACTGCATCCATTACATTCAAACTTGCTTTCACCAACGAGGATTCCCCGGAGTTGTTAGCTGGACCGGCAAAGTCTATGGCTGCAACAGATAGTGAGTTTGGGTTATCTTTGGTGACACGGGCAAGAATCGTCTTCATGGCCATTGGACTTTCCTTGCTGTATACCCTTTCGAGTTTCGGTCACACCAAACGTCCAAATCGTAAGTTACCTCAATGCCTCCCTCCATCTCACTAACACTAGCAGCAATAATGCACACTATCCACGACCTCCTAACTCTCTTCCTAATCACCCAATCACGAGCAACAAACATCCCCCTATTCCTGCTGATGGAAATCCAATTCTACACACTCAACGACCTTGGCCTCGGCCTCGTCGAATTAACAACCACCTCCCTGCTCCTCCAATACACCTCCTTCTTCGCCTTCGGCGGCTCCAACGCTATCTCCTCCATCGACCTCTCAAGCGCCTACAACGGTGTATCAGGGTACAACGTGCTTGCCGTCGGGATCCTAACCTTCGTCAGCAATTGGGCTGGGCCAATCTTCTGGGCCTCAGCTACAAACCTCATGCTCCTTCGCCTGCGTAGAAAAGGGGGGAAGGATTTATTGCTTCCGCACCTTGCGCTGTTGACGATGTTCGTGGCGGGGAGTTTGTTCTTCGTGATGGCTGCTTGTACGCTGTTGAGAACGCATCTGTTTATCTGGACGGTCTTCAGTCCGAAATATTTGTATAGCATGGTGTGGAGTCTGGGTCAGCATTTGGCGATTAACATAAGCTTTGGGAGTCTGTTGTATTGGATGGGGACCAAGAATCTTTGAAACTCACTCGAGTGAGAGCTGTAGTCAGAATTTCGCATTGCGAGGGAAGTAAAAGTTGGGAAGTGGAAATCGCAAGAGGGTATGTTGCAGCGCTCAAATCAAGCTAGAAAACAAATCATCAAACGCATCGCCCTTGCCCTTTTTGCGTTTCTTCCTTGGTCCGTTGGATCCCACCACGGCTTTTGGTGCCCTTTTGTGATTGTTGATCCTGGGACCTGGCTGTTCCACCTCCAACCTCAACAGGTTCTCCATGGTGAGTTTCTGAGGTGCTCCTCCGGTCCACTCGTCCTCATTCTCTCTTCTCTGCGCTTCCTCATCCGGCTCATTGTCCCCTCTCTCCTCCACAATCTTTTTGTTGATCCTAGACGCTCCCCGTTTCTTCCTTGGTCTCGGCATCCTGGTTTCTTCAATCCCTTTCACAGCTGGTTGCTCCTCCTCAACCTCCCCCTCTTCTTCCTTCTCCACCACTTGATCCTCTCCCTCCTCTCCCTCCACAGCATGCCACGAATCCTCAAAATCCGGAATCTGCTCCCTCTTCACAGGTTCTCCGAGATCATCGTCTCGTGCATTCGAGCCCTGCAACTCTCCTCCCTTCGCCTCTTCAACTACCTCGATATTGACTTCTTTCTCGCCTCTCACCAACTGCCCAAGGACACTCTTAACCCTGGCCAAAGACCCAAGTAACACGAGCCCAAGAGCCGAATACTGATTATCCGCCACCAAATTCGAGAACGCCAGATAAGCATCCCCAATCACCTGCTCCCTCAAAAACGCAACTCTAACCTCGACTCTCTCCCTCGCGGCCTTCACGTACTTGTTCTCCTCCCTCTTATTCTTAGAAGAATAAGCCTCAGCGGTCTCGAGGGTTTCGAGTTCGGTAATGAGTTTTGAGATTTGCCGACGGAGGATTGAGAACCATTTGTACCATTTTGAGAGGCGGTGCTGATTTTTGTTGCGGTGGTGGGTGAGGTGCAGGAGTTGGTGGGTGGCGATGAGGCATTCTTTTGGTGTTGGCATTGCGGCTCCTGTGGTGGGTGTTAAGGTAGAATGTTGTTCATTCTATTTAAGGGCGTGATGGTTGTAGTTGACTGGATTGTTGGAGGTTTGAGGCGAGGAGGATTGGAGTTAGTGGTCGATACCGGTAAAGAGGCAAGTCGAAGCGAGCAAATTGACGACACGTGACTCTTACAGAATTGTCTCTTTGCTGGATTTGCACTACCAGTAAATTTAGTGCAATTTAATTAAGTGTTGACATATATTCCTCTGTAAGTAAGGGCTCTATCTGAATGAAAGTTATTTAGTAATTATAGGGCTCGGAAAAAGTAATGAATGAAGATGTTCCGAGATTGCAGAGAAATGTACTTGTGCCTGAAAAGAACCCCACCACGATAAGGCGATAAGGAGAGCTCTTCGTTGACTCCAAAACAAATATCTTCCGTCACCCCACTATCAGCTTTCTCTCAACCTCTTCTTCCTTTCCCCTTCCTCCGAGCTCCAAACCACAACGCCCTCCAATTCCCCTCCTCCAATCTCACCTCACCTCACCTCCTCCACCCACAATGGCCTCGTCCGACCCAATCCCCGACCAGTCCCTCGCCCCCAGCATCCACGTCGAAAACCTAACGTACACCTTCCCCGACCGCTCCCTAGGCCTCACCTCCGTGTCCCTCGATCTTCCCCCTCGCTCTCGAACCCTCCTAATCGGCGCCAACGGCGCCGGCAAAACCACTCTCCTCCGCCTCCTGAGTGGAAAACGCCTTGCACCCTCTGGCACCATATCAATCTCCGGGCTAGACCCCTTCAAAGATGGATTGGAAGGAGTGACGTATTTGGGATTGGAGTGGGTTTTGAATCCAATTGTAAGGACTGACATTGGGGTGAGGGAACTGTTGAGGAGTGTAGGAGGCGATTATTACCCCGAGCGGAAAGATGAATTGGTGCACGTGCTGGATATCGATCTCGACTGGCGGATGCATGCCGTTTCCGACGGGGAGAGACGCCGCGTGCAGCTCGCGATGGGGTTGATCCGGCCATGGAGGATTCTGTTGTTGGATGAAATTACGGTTGATTTGGATCTTTTGTCAAGGTCTCAGTTTCTGGCGTTCTTGAAAAAGGAGACGGAGGAGAGGCAGTGCACAATTGTGTACGCAACGCATATTCTGGATAATCTTGCGGGGTGGCCGAGCCATCTCGTGCATATGAGTTTGGGGAAGGTCAAGGAGTGGGGGCCGATTGATGGGTTTGAGATTAGTGGGAGGGGGGAGAGTGGGAATTCGAGCTTGGGAGAGTTGGTACTTGGGTGGTTAAGGGATGATTTGGCAGAGAGGGGACCGAGGAATAGGGCCGTGGGGAGTGAGGGGAAGGCGTACTTTAATCCGGGTTTGGGCGGGTATGGGGCGGAGGATATTAGGAAGATCGAGGGTGGTGATAAAAAGGGGTGGTGAGGGTGGTGAGGGTGGTGAGAGAGTGGAGGGGTTTCCTTGGGTTTTTTTCCTTGTCAAGAGTTTCCTTTGGAAGGAGCACTTCAACAACTGGGTTTGATGCATAGACCGGCGTACATTTAACATGCATTGGTCTGGGAGTCGGGTTGGGAAAACTTCAACATCTCTGGATTTGGTGTGCATCTGGCACTGGAGCATTTAACATACACTAGTCTAGGGGATGATGATGGCAGCTGATATGATGGATTCTTGTTTCGTTTGGGTTCGGGTATCTATACGGGCTGTGGATTCGCCAGAGTCCTTCAACGCCTCCGGTGCGTTCGGCGCAGCATTTAACATAAACTGGTCTGGAGAAAAGCTGTCATGAGAGCATGCGTTACGCGCGAATGGGCGGGGTTGTTTACTTGTTTTGCTTTGCAGGAGGTCTTAAACGCCTCCTGAATGTTTGCATAGCCCGGCGTAGCATTTAACATATACACTGGGTTTGCCCTGCTTTTAAGATATAGAGGGAGGATCAAAAGAATAGATCCGCAGAGAGCTATCTTCACTCGCGATTGCAAGCTCCATCTCGCTTCCTTCTCCTTTCTTCGAGGGTTTCAATGCTAGCTGTGTGATGGCTTTCGAGGGGAATGGGTAAGTGCTGTGATAATTAGCTGAACTCAACCTCACGGGTGTAGGGGACGTACTTTGGATAAGCAACCTCGACCTCAGTGGCCGAAAAATCACGTTTCACATCCAAAGCATAAATCCTGATCCTCCCACTCTCCGTTCCAACCGCAAGATACGCCCTCCCATCAGCCATTAAAACATCTCCAAAATCAACAGCAGTAACCGGATGCTCCTCCGTAATCGTTTTCCTACACGTAAATCCAGCCTCCCCGTCCCTCACCCAAATCTTAACCGTCTTCTCTCTCCCAGCCGTAGCAAACACCCTGCCTTCACCAGGCGCCCAAGCACAGTCAAGAATCATCCTCGAGTGGCCCTTTAGGTTCTGCTCAAGTAGTTTATACTCAGCTGTTCCTTCCCCAGCTCTCTGAAACACAGCCCATTGACGGTCCCTCCCCACACTCAGAAGAAAGTTATCGTCTGAGGAGAATCGTAATCGTGTAACAGTCAACAAATGAGCCATCAACGGCGGCTTGACCTCATGCCACTCCCTCGTCTCAAAGATGCGTATTACAGCGTGGTCAATCGAACTCGCTTTACACGCCGTAGCAACCAGCGAGCCGTCGTGGCTTGCTGCCAGGGTTGAGATTTCATAGCCATGGCCGTACAACTTCTCGATTTCAGGCCAGAGGGTGTGCCGTGAGAGGTGGTCTTCCAGCGGTGGGTGCTTCAGGTTTAATGTAGATTTATGTACGATTGAGGCGGGGTCGATGGCATCGCGGTCGTTATGATTAGAAGGTGGGAGTTCTTCATCGTCGGCTACTGCTTCGATAGCTTTGTTGGAGAGGCCGAGGACAGGCATGTTTGCTGCGTCGGGCATCGAGTCGATTTGAGAACCGCCAAAGCCACAGAGGTTGTGTAGGAGGTTGGCGACTGCTTTTGGTTCGGAGAAGACGCGGAGGAGCTTCTCGTCTGCGCCGGACACGAATTGGGAGGAGCCTAGAGAGTCGATGCAGTTGAGGTCGTAGCCGTGGATTTGTGGTCTAGCCATTTCGTGCCATGAGGCTTGGCCGTCTCTTTTCCATTTTGCGTGGAGTCGTGTTGTTTGATCTGAGCTGGTGGAGAGAAGATAATCACCATCTTTTGACCAGGCAATACCTGCCACTGGCAGGGTGTGCCCGCTGACTCCAGCTCCTTGAATCCATCTATCTCGCTCCAAGTTATGGCTCCACAGTCTCCAGCTTCCTGTTCTTCCAAGAGAGGCTACTGTCTCACCAGACGGCGACCAAAGGCCCGTCCAAAATCCTCCAGTACTACCAGTAGCAGTTGTCGATCCTTTCTCAGCACTGATTTCACCCAATCTCGTGACTGTCACCCAAACTCCAGTCGAAGCATCGGATTCCCAAATCGCCAGCGAGTTATCTGCTGATGCTGAAAGTAATTGCAATTTATCTCCCACAGCTCTCCAATTCGTGCTGTAGATCCAATCCTCATGTCCCAGAAGCAACGCCTCAAATGTAGCAGAGAAGTCAAGACCTTGAGCCTTGAATCGATGAGCTTTGTTCGATAGAGATTTTCCGGGCATGAAAGCTCCCAACGACGGGTCGGCTGAGGCAGCTGCAGCGGGCAGTTCTTTGCCTTGATGGATTCGCCAGAGTCTGATATACTTATCCTGGCTTGCTGATGACAAGATGAGGTCGCTGGTGGGACCGAATCTCTCCACTGTAAACTCTAAGGATCTGATCCATCCTTCGTGGCCAGCCAGAGTTGCTTGTAACCGGAACTCGGCCGCATTCTGCGAGTCTAGGACGTAGAGCTGGATGATGTCTTTGGTTCCGGCAATGGCCAGCACATAAGATTCGGGTGCACTGGCCAGAGGACTCAGGGCCAGTGCCAAGGGAAAGAATCGAGGCGTGATATTGATAGTCTGCTTCAAAGTCGCCGCATTTTGCTCGTCCCGGGACCAGATCTTCACCGTGGCATCGGCTGCCCCTGATGCGAAGATTCCCGACGACCGACTAGACACCGCTATGCAGTTGATCGAGCTTTGGTGATCTGAAAGGGTTTGGATACATGAGTATTGCTTAGTTAATGAATCTTTGCTCCATATTTTCAGGGTTTTATCGACAGATCCGCTGAGCAATAATCCTTGGGTCTCTGGGACGAATTTGACAGCATTTACGGTGTCAGTATGACCGCTGAGAAGTGAGAAGAGGCCTCTGCCATCAGAGCTCTACGTTCAAGTCAGTCCAGGGTCATAGTCATACAAAAAGATCCGCGCTTCGAGTGCTGTGAAACGTGATCCTACTTGGAAGTCCCGTTACTCACAGCCAGGAATGAAACGGGGACGCACCTGTGGCCGCCATAAAGCAACATTTCTATCAGCGCCATAAGCCAGAAGACCTGAGATATCCCAATCAGCCGTCGACGGGTGTCTGTTGGCCCCGGCTGCGAGGTATTCGGTCCTTGAATGCATCATTTTTGGCTCATCAGACGAGGCTCGGTACGGAAATAGAGGTCGACAGTTGAGAAGGTCATCGAGCAAAGTCCTTGTCCGACATTTGCGAATAACTGCTCTCAGGATGGTCAACTGGTTGAGGCTGAACTCTTTTGATGTTGTCGGTATTCATCATCTTCGTGCAGCAAAACTTTCGCTAAATTTAAAGGACCATGAATCCCGGCATTGCAGATGCCATGGTGATGATTTCTTCCAAAACGCAGTTATTGTACCCTTTCAAGTCGTTTCTACATATTCTCAGAGGGCTCAATAGGAGACAGATAATTTCTTAGTAATCCCCCCAGTTTTTACAGCAAAATAAATACTGCGGCAGGAAAGAGCAAGTTGCTGCAGATCAGGCTAAGCGAGGCTCTGACCAAAATTTCTCTTTCCTGGCAACGACATGCCTTCTTTCTTCAACTCTTTCAAACGCTTCAAACGGGGCCGCCCCCTCATCTCAACTGCTCACCGGCAATCAAAACCGTTATCATGGCATCCGAGGAGACCATCCCCATCATCGTGGAATTCACGTAAGACCCCAATCGCATCCCAGAAGCGCTGTGGGGGAACATGGGCTAACACAGGCGATCTAGCGGAGGCCTGGAGATGCTCTTCTCAGGCGAACGCAAGCACAGGCTCTCGGTCCCTGCGAAAGACAGCAAGGGAGATGCAGTCACCGTTGGCTGGCTTGTCGATTATCTCTGCGACGAGGCCATGAAAGATAACAGGAAGGAGATGTTTGTCTTGGATGGTCACGTGTAAGCCCTATATTCCTCCCGTTAAGGTCTCGTCTTCAGATTGGTCTTCACCGCTTCTCAACATTTCTCCCTCGTCAAATCAGTCCCTTCCACATTTCATCATCTCGAGCAGTCATTCAATCAATCTGCATCAATGATCTGCAGCACGTCAGCTTGGCAGGGTAGTTCTGCATCTCGAGCAAGCCTGCCCCAGCTTGCTGCTCTATTCACCGTTTCCTGCGAAATCCCACCCTCTGCTCGCAGCTCCAACATGGGCAAACACAACACCTCAGACCGAACTCACTGACAACTCGTGTATGCATCCAGTCGCCCGGGAATCCTGGTGCTCATCAACGACGCCGACTGGGAACTCGAAGGCGAAGCCTCATACGCCCTGCAACCCAACGACAATATCCTCTTTGTTTCGACGCTTCACGGGGGCTGAATCACCCATTATTGTGAAATCGTCACACCATACGAGAGCATTGCCGGTCGCACGGCGGCTACTCCTATTATGCGCATCCTCAGCTCCGGACCTCCACCACCCATTCCGATCTTCCGCCGTTGTCAGATCTCGCAAATCTGGCTCCGTTCGACGATATTCTCGGGTCGCCAGGTCAAAGCGACGATAATTGAGGAGGCTCAGGAGAACCAATGCACGCCTTATGTGGCTCTCGAGCAGACGAAACACGAGTCATCCTTGCACGTGATACTAGGAACAACCTTGCATTGATCTTCGCAGGGATGGTGTCAAGAACCCCACCTGACGCCTCACTCTCTGCTGCACCACCACCACCAAGACATCGCCGACCTGCACCTCCACGAACCAACAGATACCATAGAAGCGCCCTCCATCCAATTGAGTTTTCAGTGCCTCATGCAGGCGTACACGAGCACGCATTCTGTGCAACACGGGGAATACTCTCTGGCGATCCAGTTTGACATACCTCCGTATTCAACCTGGGACACGACAAAGGTTTGCCACGGACGGAAGACGGCAGTCTGAGCGACATCAAATCAAAATAGCCCACAGCTCACTTGACGATGCCGAATACAGCGGATCCCGACCCCATCAAATCGTATCCCATTTCGGCCCTGCTAACTGAAAGGCTTCGAGAATCGGCAGGCCCCAGGATCCGAGATTGAATATCCAGAGCTATCCGCCTCCAGCGGTGAAGCCCCGGGAGTCCGGGACACACCGACCAGCAAATATCGGTATCTTCCCTCCCCCATCAACACAACCACAGGCGGTCGAAACACCTCAAGAAACCCTTATTACCTAGCGCTGTACAACGCTGCTTCTGCACCGAGAGAATTTCAGTGCGCGATTTACTGTGCGAGAATTGCAAAACACTGGAAAGGGCAGCTCGGAGGGAGCGTGTTGCATCGCTCGTTCGCTCGCTCGCCGACCGGTGTGAAAGCTGTGCTGGGCAGAATTTAGCGAAACGCGGGATATCCTCCCCAGACGCGGCGCACCACGGCCTGAACCGAATTCTTCGTACGTGATCTACTCCGTAATCGCCTGCGTGTCCCGTCCAGTGGATGTCCCGCAGCCCAGCACACCCTCTTTGCAGCCGGTCGTGAGATAGACTCCTCGTCGGCTCGCCGGAGCAAGCCGACGGTGAGGAGCAAGATCCGGAGCAGATACAGTTGCGGTTGGGCGTCAATCGAGGGGTATGCGCCTCGCTTTCCACGCGCTAGATTGTCGGAGATTCCGTAGATAGAGTCCATACCCAGGCAATCGAATTCCATGACAGCGCATGGCGGCGATAGCCTAGATAAGCACCGCCGGGGTGGATTGTGGGGTTTGTACACTTACGGGGATTTTTGCCCTGGGGCTGCGATGAGACGACGCTGACATGGGGCCTGCAGGGAGGCCTGTCACTCCTGTCAAGTTAGGCGACGGCACCTCCCTGTAACCCCTATCCACGCTCGCCACCCTGGTTCAAACGTAATAACTTCAAGCAACGTCAAGCAAGGGGTTCTTGAGTTAACAGTCAACACCAACACAAAGCTTTCCTAGCACTCAAGACTCGCAGACAGAACAATGTGATAAATAATAATATATTCTTCTCTCGTCTAACTATACTGCTAGAACAGCTGCACTAGCTCTTCATCCCCTCGTGATATATGTGCACAAAGCCTTGTGATGCTAAATATACTTGCTTCGCCTGTGCAAAAATTCCGAACCCCCGAACCAAAGGCAGAAAACGCAGAAAACGAGGCAGCAAGCTACCTCTAAATGCATCATCTTCGCAGATGGTTAAATGCGATATAAGTCTTTGAGCACGTGATCCTCCCAACCCAGTCAGCCCCTGTGCTCAGTTTGATAGATACAACAACATGATATCTTTCGATCAAAAAGCCTTTCGAGAAGGTCCTCCCATAAATAAAGTCGCATACCAATAAAGAAAAATTCAAAGCGCAAGTAAGAGAAGGAAAGAGAAGGAGAATGAAATACAGGATGCGACATGTGTCGACTTAAGTCCATCTCTGAAGAGCGAGTATGGCTGTGCTATGATAAATAATGCAGTGCGCGCGCAATGATGACGAAAAGGAGAATGATGTGAAATGGAAAAGCAGCCACACCACCACGCAACAACAAATGCCTCGACGATATCCTGCCCATCCCTTGCCAATCCGTTCCGTAGAGTGCCGTGTCATCCCAAAAGCCTTCTATCAACACCACCGCGCCGTCTATATACCGTACTTGCTCTTCTTTCTGCTGTCATTTTCATCCTCGTAATAATAATACACCTGGTTCCTTCTCTGGCCTAGAAGCCTGAAGTCTGGCCTTGCTTCGTCGTAGCTCATTCCTCATCAACAGTCGTAAATCGCACCTCTTCTCTTGGTTCTCTCGGGCGGCGTCGTGTTCTGTTTTCCCACAATCCACCCCCCCTCCCTCATCTCGACACCACGACGTACTCATCAGTACATCCTGTCTCCAAACGCCAAGTCGCCGCTTCGTCCAGCGTCTTCGAATCCATCTGATGGCGCATCGTCGTAGCAGGTGCCGACTGAACTCGCACCACCGCTTCCGCTGTGGCCGGACTGGCTCTCCTCGTCAACGTCGAACATCTCGTACTGTCCACCTTCTCCTCTTCCAGAAGCATGCGCACCAACCGATGCAGAGCCCATCATATTCCCCCTGCCAGCACCAGCCATGCCGTATCCACCTCTTGAACACATACTTCTCATCCCGGAGCTTGAAGCCATGGAGTTAGAGCCAACCTTGCGGTCCTTGCCGCGACCCTTGATCCCCTTGTTGCTGTTCTTGTACAGGTTGGCAAAGTACTCCCACAGCTCCTTGTCGGCTGCATGGACGATGTCTCCGTCCTTGATGGAGGCGAACTTGGTCGTCAGAGCGCGGATGGTGGCGATGTGGAATTTGTTTTGGTGGGACTATGTGAAACATCGTCAGCTTTCCCTTCTCGTCGAATCGTGTCAAGGTGTGGAGATGGGAGATGATAGGAGAGGGAGAACATGTTCATGCTTGACGAGGGGCTGAGTGTGGCTGGGTTGAGGGGTTGAGACTGGAACGGGAGAAAAGCAACTATATTGACAATCAGGGGCTCAAAAAGTTGAAACATCGGTGGAGTACACCACAAGCAACTTTTCAGGGGAAACGAAAACGACATGACTTGAGAGTAGAGGCTTACTTTGAGATTGCCGAGCTGCGTAAATTGCTTGCCGCAGTCATCGAGACGACAGAGGTACGGCTTGGATTGATCGTGGACGATCTTGTGGGCGCGGACGTTCCCGCGTTGCGCGAATCTCTTCCCACAGATCTCGCAATGGTATGGACGTTCTCCAGTGTGCCGTCGTTCGTGCGTCTAGAGTTTTCCGTTAGTCGAGATCGTGCTGGGGAATCTGGATTTTGCATTTACCTTCAGATTTCCAAGCTGGGAGAAGCTGCGACCACATCCAGGTTCTTTGCATGGCTAGAATAGAGGATTAGAGACAAAATTGTAGCATGGAAAGTCGGAGCAGGTTACTCACGTATGGCTTGACTCCGGTATGGGCTCGCTCATGAATATCGAGATGCGTCTTCTGATAGAAACTCTTGGTGCAATTCTCGATTGTACATTGATACCGTTTCTTGCCACCCTTAGGGCTCGCTTCTTCCTGAACATCCTTCTGCGTGAGCTTGTATTGACTCGAGTCTCCAGAACCATACGCTCTGGCTTGAGAAGAAGCCTCCACGTAAGGAGGGGTACGGGAGACACCTACCACAGGTCTACTCTGATCTGCAGATGAAGGTTTCTGTGGTGTTGTGCTTTGGGTTTTGGCTTGAATAGCTTTCATGAGAGTGTCAACTTCCGTTCCGAAATTGACGTCGTTACTACCGGTGATGGGGGTAGTCGTGGTTACGGTTTTGGTGTTGGCGGACGGGAATGAAGGCGAGTTGACTGAGCCGTTCCACTGAGGTTCTGACTTGATAGGTGGACTTTGGCTGTGATGTTCTTCGATGTAGCCTTGTCGAGGGTTGCGAGCGTACGAAGTATCAGGCTGTGTCAGACGAGGCAGAGGTCGCTGCTGGATGTAGTTGTTCGCAAAAGCTGGAATGACTCCGTTCTGGCCAGCTCCACTATACGGACCGAAGGTGAATGGGTTGTTTTGCTGCATTTGTGGATGAGCCACTACCATGTTGTTCGGTGGTGCTCCGCTGAATGCATGGACCGGAATGTAATGAGGGGCCATGATTGCTCGTGTAAGAGCTGCAGAAGAAGCCGCTCTCGAATCGTAGGATTGAACGAGGCCGGAGATGTCCATCGTGTAGAAAGTCTCGATCGGCTGCTGATGAGTATTCTGCTCGGACCAGCGTCCCCAGGCCTGGCCTGGTGCCTGTGCTGTTACTGCCAGCGTGCCGGTATTGTCTTGCGTAGACGCAAGACTTTCGGAGGTTGGTGGTTTTGGAAGAGTCGTTTTTGAAAGTCCGCGTGTAAATCAATAGAGGGAAGAACGGCGCGGAAGGAGTGCTGATGCAGAAAGCAAAGCAAATGTCCACCGAAAAAAACGAGGCTCGTGGATGACCAGAAGCAGTTGAGGCAGTCAAGTTGCGGTATGTTGCGGTATGTTCACAAAGTCGAAGATCAAAGGTGTTTGTTGTATTAGTGGAAGGTCATGAAAGATTTGGGCTGAGTTGATGTGCAACTGGGATGGAAAATGGAGGGGTGCCAATCGTTCGGTATTGATCCAAGATCCCACAAAGATGGCTCCCGAGATGTATTCATATACCAGATCAACCTACCTCAGCCCCCCCACCCCATATCTGCGGTAGTCAAGGTGATGGCCCGCATCCCACGTTGACTGGGGCTGAGACTGTACCAATAGCAAGCCACGGACATCGACGCATGGCCATGAAACAGACAAGGCTGCTGGACAAGTTGTGCTGCTCCCATACTGGCACTCTACTGAGCGAGGAGACTCCCTAACAGACTGCACGCAGAGTATATTGAAGACTTTCAATGAAAACGACACTAAAGAGCTGAGTGCCAGTACTTGCAAAAGGCGACAAGGGTGTGCCGACCGGGGTCTGTCAGAAGGGTATCGATTTGAGAGACAGTGTAGATGATGAAAACACCAATAGAGCCGGGGACTGGCGCCAGTTGGTGGCCTCTCCATAAAGACACTTGCAATGCTCTCGCACGTCGGAAATCGAGACTCGGTAGATCCAGGTGCATTGGCTGCATCGATCGAACCTGCTTCCTGGCACCCCTCTTGCAGGGGGCCTTCGGGGCTTCTGACGGGAGGGACCTCGAACGAGAGTCACAAAATTGGGGGAGGAATATTGCTAGCGGAGCGCTAAAGGGATTTGCACTTAGAATCTGCTAAAAGAGGTCAAAGACATTTGGCGGCATGGATCAGGGATCTTGCGAGGCACCAAACAGATCTGAGATGGGGGGAGAGCAGCGCTGCATACAGTCCCCCTGTTCCAACCTACTAATGGGAGGTGCTTCAAGCCGGTCCCCCGGCGAGAGCGCGGGAAGGATGAAGCTGTCCGGCAGCGTGGGGGTGGGCGAGGTCACACAGTCTGGCTCGGGAAAGGGCGGCGGCGAGGCACGAGTCCTTGGAGCTTGCCGTCCCCCGTGTGCGAACAGCGAGCAGCGAGCAGCGAGTGCGTGAGGCAGAGTGCAAAAACACCAGCACCAAGGCAGGGGAGAAAAACGCCATGGCGACGGCGGAGGAGGGGCCTTGGATCTGGCCCGCCTTGGAGCCCAACAGCTCGTCGTCCAATCGTTTCCCCCAGTGGCCAAGGGCATGAATAAACTTAAATTTGCGTCGGAGCGTTTTCCAGCGCGAAGTGCGCCAGAGTTAAATGTTAATTGCTGCTGGAACGGCTCGGCCCCGTGTCTCGGGAAGGCCCAAAGTTGATATCTGACTGAACTCTGTTCTCGGGACGAATCTGCGCCTCCGCCTCGCGGTGGATGCGGAGGCGGTAGGGAGGCTTCCGCGGAGTCAGCCCCCGGTCCATGCGCTAATCTGTCAAAGTTGCAGTTGAAAATCGCGGCCGGGAGTATCAGACTTCGCCAATTGCCGTGCTCCAGGAAGACGCGTAGATAGGGGCATTTTAAGGGGCACGTTGCGACGAGATCGTGTGCCTCTGAAGTTCAAGAGGCTTCAATGTGCGTCAAGCTCGCCAAAGCAGAGCATGTGCCCATCAATGCAAGAAGCGACGAATGTTCCTCTCGTTGGCAATTGATTGCTTCTAAATGCAGGCCAACAACGGGAAGGGAGGGCAGCAGGTGAGGGATCCCGTGGAATGGGTCCGCCGCAGCCCGCGGACACTTCACCCGCACCCTACAGGATCAGTATTCGGTAGCAAGGCTGCAGCCGCGAAGATTCCTGTGTGTCACTCTAGCGCGGAGATATGTTCCCAGAGTAACACAGCTCACCCAGGCGCCGCCAACTGTTGACAAGCTAACTTGTCCCATTAACCAAGTGTCGCACAACTCTGGAATTCCTCCGCAGTTTCTAGTCGTTGAAGAACGCCTGGGAGACATTGGGACAATGGCGGAGCGGAGGACGCAACGTGGACTGGTGGTACCCGTAGAGACAGGAGTTGGAGTGGTGGTCAGAAGCGCGTGCTTGCAAGACAGAGGGCTGAATAATCAGAGGTATCGCGATCAGTAATCGAGTTCAGCTGTAGCTCAGGTGCTAATTGCACTCGGGGAAGTGCGTGAGATCATATTAAATGTTAAACTGATGCAGAAAACGACAAATTGGGACAGGGAGAGATGTCGTCGCGCTGGAGAGCTGAACCTCGGTGGGAAACTCCCCGACTGTCGGTAGTCTTCTCCAGATCCGGAAAATCGATCAGCCAGCGGCGAATTGCAGTGTCTCGAGACTCGACGCCGCACCAACTTGTTGTTGCAGATGAGGAAGCGTGGCAATACTGCATTCAAATTCTTGCAACCCATATTCCTCGAGACCTCAGCACTGGCTGTGGTATTACCCATAGAAAGTCAAATATAGGCTGGGAGAAACGTAAAAAAGTTGCAGGCCTCAATTCTCACGAATCCTGGGAGCAAGCACCCCTCGACACCCCACAAACTGCTTCCCATGTTCATGCCGAGCCCTTGAGCGAATCGTCCAGCGCGCTGAGAGGCTCGTCTGGCCGCTTGAGGGGCCTTGCCAGGCCTTGGTCATGACCCCCTGACGGCAGCCTGGACCCGGAAAGTCCCAGATGCTGCAGGCCCCATGTCAAGCCCTAGTCAGGCCTGTCAGCACGACCCAGTGCGTTGGTCGAGCTCGAAGATCCGCCGGCTTGCAGGCCGAATATGTCCAAGGTAGCGAGGATTTGCGCCAGCTCTCGTCGCAACCATGGCCGTGTCATTTCCAACCCTCAAGGAAGATATAATTAACTCCCCCATGCCGACAGCAACCGTTTCGCAGAGGTCAGAATAGGCACGGGCAACGCCATACGGGCCCCAAGTCGCCCGTCCCCAGTCGGCAGAATATGTCGCCATTATTGAATATTGGCTGGCGGCCGAAAGTGAAGCATGGCGTGGAGAGACGCAATGCTGGAGAGTCCGTAGAGCGATGGCGATTGGGAGCGCGGTCACACGTGTGGGCTGGCCGACGGGAAGAGGTGGTGGTTGAGAGCTGCTGTGGCGGGGAGAGTGACATGCCGGGATCGAGAAGGGAGGCTATTTGCAGTGCGTGTTCGGAACTTCTGTGCAACAGAGGCGCGCCGCTGGGATGGGATGGGAATAAGGTTCACTGCATGTGTTCTGTTAACTTTGGTTGACCCGCGATGTTGGCAAGGAATGGAGGTCTGGTGCTGCTGCAGTGCTGCTGCTGCAAGGGCCCTGCTTGCCCGGAATGGCTGCACGTGACTTGGAACCTGCATATATTCGATGCCAAATATTGAAGCTCAACCAAACCAGGCCAACTCTTCATGCAACCTCCAACGTGGCGTCCGTCCACGCTCAATGCGTTTCTCACGTCCATGGCAGAAAGGCGCAGACATGCCCTGGACCTGCCCGCCAAAACCTCGAGGCTCAAATGCCAGAGCATGAGGATTCCAAATTCGAATTCCACTCCCGATCAACATCTGGCCAGCACTGTGTTCCCATCGATTACATCCAACGCGCGTCACCCCGTTCTGCTATTCAATGGAAGGTCGCCGAGTCGCCGACGGCGCACGCAGCGTAGTCGCATTTCTTGCGCCCTTTGCGTCTTATGTTAATGATTTGCGTTTTCGACTGCAACTCCCGCCGCCACGACCGACTGCCCCGGTCCTGATGACCACTTCTTGCCGTAGCAGCGGCATAAGCCACACCAGACCACTGTTGGAGAACAGCGCTGCTCAATCAAGTAAACAATCGCGTGAATCGCGGCAGGCCGACGGCAATGGTCCCAGACCTATCCATCACCGCACAGACGATCACGAGCGAGCAACTACTCTGCTAAGCACGTACTTGCTACTCGCCAAAGCACGGTAGCATCCGAGCCTAAGCCTCCGAAGACAGGACGGCAATTGTCAGATTCGCAGCACCTACCCCATTCCCAAAAGACCCGGTTTGCAACGTTCGCGCAAGGGGCGGCGCAATCGAGAAAATGGGGGTGAATGAGACGGGCATCCTGGCCGTCGATCCACCACCTTAACCCCAGATCCCAGGTCTCGAAACTCCCACACAGCGAATCCGAACTCTGCGCAGCGAGAGAACGGAGCATAACGCTGCAGCCGATTGTTTCCAATGCCAATCTTGCATTTGAATCTTGCATGGGTCTGCAGCATCGACTTTCGACTCGGTACATGCAAGGGAATCCGGGCAGCACACCCAGCTGAGGATCCCGTGAGGAACAAAACAAAAGCACACATCTTTCCCTAGACGCCACATTTGCCCCTCCTCAAGGACCCTGGAACTCTCCTCAAAAAGCAAAACCACCCGGTCATCCCCCGGAGCATAGCTGGCCACACAAGGCTGACGGAGCTCTCGTAGCGTCAAGACGGGTCGATTGATCACCAGCATCAAATGCAGCCTCCGCCGGAACCTCTGCATGCACAGAGCAACATGCGTCCACTTTCACGCTCCACCATCACGGCGAAACTCTTTCTCCAAGCGGGAAGTTACTCAATTTGACGATTACCATGAAATTTTGATCAGGGGCGTCTTTAAATTTTGTACGGAGAGTTCGAGATTCTCAATATTCATCGTTTTTGTCACAAGATTTGAGCTGCGCCTTTCTGTTGTGACCTCATATTTCGTAGCGCAAAAGAGTATTCTTTGAAGCTAGGAGTAAAGAGCTCTAAGGGGAGCTTGCGGCCGTTCTAAATCAGACGAACTGGTCCTCGAACCGAGCTTGGAATCGAAAACATTCATCAGGACGTTTCATGTTGCCACTGGCAGATTGTGCACCGGAGGCAGTGCAGGAGACCCAAATGCGCACAGGGAGCTGCCGGTCAGATCCCTTTGCGATCAAGATATCAATCTGGTTTCCAATTGGTTCTGGTCGTCTTTCGCAACCTTCGCAGCTTTGGGCCATCAGCTCCATTTCCCAACCAAACAACACTCGGTCCATTAATAACAACATCTTCTATTTCTCGTGAGAATGTCAGTAGCCATGCATGACTAGCCCTGACCATATGCCAAATCCTGATTAGAAGCGAGAGCGGCAATGACCTGACGATACATGGTCGGGTCGGCATTCTCCTCTGCAGGCAACTGATCATCATGAAGAGATCCAGACATGTTCACCTTCGGGCATCCCAAAACATCGTACGACGTCCGATGTAGTCTTTCAAGCGAAACCTTGTAGAATCATCAAACAACTCCTCTACAATATCCAGATCCAGACCCCCGAAAAAAAGAAGCGACTAGAATACACCTTCTGGAAGAATGTCAACGGCACGAAATGCGCCACAGCTCTTTTTAGATTCAAACCCGAATCAAGCCAGCTTTTCCACATGGTGCGCTATTCCCTCAGCCTCCTGCGTCTTGTTGATGGCGCCCCTATCCAAATGCCGCGCTGCCCCCTTTTGATCCTTCTCAGTATCTCCTCAGACCTGCTACCCGCCACGGCCGCGGAGATCTTTCGTTGTTGATATCGCTAAGCGGGGCCTTATTTCTCCATGCATTGCTGAATTTTAGGGTCCTGGAGGAACGTTAGTAAAGGCTTGTTGATACCTCCCCGAGTCATGAGATTGCTCATGAAAAACATGCATCCCACTTCCGTTGTCAGTTCTCCGAAATAATTGGGCAATATCAGAAAGAGA